GTCTGTGCATGGACAAGGGCACTCAAGAGCTCCGGTTTAAAGTTATCACCGATGTGTCCAATATCGACATCTGCAGCCATGAAATTTCTCAAACTTCCTTCCCCTTCATCCTCTGACCAGCCATGCCGGCCTGTTAGTTGATTAAAAATTGGGTGTGGCGATAGGATTGAGGTGAACCTTACATCCGTCTAAACTGTTTCACAAGTGTGTTGGACAGGGATTGAGAGGTTTAGTGTGTTCAGTGCAGACCAGATAGCTCGTATAATGAGCCAAGATGGTTTCCTCTTTGGTCAGCGCAATTCGGTTGGAAAGTGACGGCATCTGCCACAAACATTTGTCCCGCATATCGCATTCAAAACTTCTAACAACGAAATTTTATATTGAATATGCAGTTTATCTGACATTATGGTGACAAAAAAGAAGGTGGGCTAACACATGAAATGTCAACCGAAATTGTGAAAATTTCGAAAAGATTAATTAAGTAGAGTTGCAAAACTGATCAGTCTGCAGTAAAATTCCATAATAATTCAGTTGCATTAGAATGTCGACTTTTAAATAAAATTCTTACCGCCTGCATGCAAAAACCACAGTCCGTAAGAAATAACTACTTTTAGCATGCATTTTCCTCATTGATTTTCGATACCCTTAAAGCTTCAATTATACTTCGTGAAAAAATGTCTAAAATATTCATTATTTTACTGATTTTGTAGAAACTTACGTCACCTCACATTCTGTGCATAAAAAGGGTTGAATTCGGTATTCAAAAACCTTTTTAATTCCTGAATAATTTTGAACCCGACCTTCCATTATACTTGCATTCAGGGTTTCCAAACTACCGGCCGTATATTTTCCGCTCACAGAAAACCATAAATTTCTCTAAAGCTTTAAGAGAAGATCATATGGGGTTCATAGGACTTAGTAGTGGATTTGAGTCAGGTGTTTAACTTTACAAGCCACATTGACAAATGCAGATACATGACGTGTTATGAACGGTCATTTCACATTAAAAAATTTCATAATTAAAAACTTTTTAAAACCGAATGAAACCCTTCCTTCGAGTATTTTATCGTCTGTTAAAATGAGTATTTTGCAATATTCTCAATGAAATATAATTGAATTGTTAAGGGCATCGAAAGTCATTGATAAAAATGCACGTTACATAAGTTGTCATTTACTACAGAATAAACTTGCCTTGTTTGATTTCCGAGGAAATTAATGCGCGATCTTGGAGTAAATCTTTCGGAAGAGGCGAAACACGCGTGTCTGGGCTTTTAGCTAATACCTGTTTTGTTAGTACGGTAAATCATTACACAGTTCTATACTTCTGGCTGCCTGTTGGCGGTTTGTGAATATTAGGCGGTTATTCCGCAGTAGCCGATGGGTTTCAGCTCAAATATTCATATCAAAATTTGGAGCGTGCTCGAAAAGGTCCGTTTCGAAAGATTTACTCCAAGTTCGCACATTAATTTCCTCGGAAATTAAACAAGACAAGTTAAAAGTGAAGTTCATATGCCAGAAAATACACGAGGAAGGCTGCGGGACCCACTGACGAGCCGAACCCCTCGCATCTGCGTCAGGCATTGGCATAAGATCGGCGAAACACGCGTGTCTGGGCTTTTAGCTAATACCTGTGTTGTTAGTACAGTAAATCATTGCACAGAATATACTATTTGCATGCAGCCGGAAAGAAGTTCGTCCAAAAGCCCACATCCTGAGTTAACTGAATTATTATAGAATTTTGCTGCATAACGATTAGTTTTACAGCCTTACTTGACCAAACTTTTTGAAGTGAAAACGCATTTCGGAATTTCAGTGGACATTTCATGAGTTAACCCACCTACTGTAGGTCCGCATTCAAGTTGATTGCATACACCAAGTTTGGTCTTAAATCATCGAACGAAATGAGGAAAAACACAGAATAGTTGTGAGACAGAGTTCAGTGTCCTGCCCTAACCCGCAGTAAGTGAATTTGTCATGGCTCTGTCTCGAATGTGGGATATGACCGCCTAATCACTGCTTGCAGACTCCGAACAGTGGGAGCTTGGAATTCCCGGGCAGTTTGCTGGTCGGAATCGACGAGGACCACCATTGTTCAAGGTATGAATTTGTAGATGCTAAGCAGGCTTATACAAGTGGAAGTCAAGAAGACAGAAGATGAACGTGGGCATGGAGGCTGGCAAAACGACCTAACTCGTTTACGCGTGCCCCACACAAACCGGCCTCTCACAACCAACGTAGAAGAATTCGAAAGGGAGCACCCGAATACCACAGAAGTGAAATTCGGCATGACGCGTCTATGAAACCAACCCGTTTAGTCTCAGTAGAATCGGACTGTCCCAACAGTTTATAATCCCCCAATCCAAAACTACTAGTAAGGCGATGAAGTCAAAGGCGTCTCCAACTCCTCATCGTGAGGAGGAAGAATGTTCCTCTGCCATTCAAACTGTGAAGCCCAGTCCACTGCCGATAAGTTAGGGCGGAGTAACTGAAGTGAGGCTAGTTTTCTACCTAGCATGCGTGTGCTGCTCTGCGGTTCCGCAGGCTGCGCAGAGAACTGTCTTAGCGGGGCTACCAGAAAGCGTATTCGGTTACACATCGTCGCAATTTTCAAAGATTGCCTTGATGGAAAAAGCTAAGTACAGGACGTGAAACTGCTCTTTGCAATTTGAAGGGCCAGATCGGACGGAAACAGCGGATGCAAGTACAAGAACAGGAAGCATCTATGCAACGCAGTGAATCGATTTTACAAACCACCGGTCATTGTTCCTACCAGGGGTAACCGTCCGAGATCGCATGCGGATGTAATTCCGAGGTTGCATAATAGCTTCTTCACTTTAGCCAGCAGCCCAACAGCTTTGCCAGTATTGTCATTAACAAACGCCATCGTCTGATAAATGACATACGTTCCGAAATGCGAACCACTTCGCGAGTTTTGAAACTTAGAAAAAATAATTTGGGAGTCTAAGCGCTCCAGTAGTTTCTTTGTCTGCCTACGTTGCTTACGCGGTTTGAAAATATGCACAACTAGCTTCCGCACAATGGTGTTTATGGGGACATTCAGACTTCCATGAAGTCCTACATACAGAAGGTGGGCTAACTCATGAAATGTTAACCGAAATTTCTAAACGGGTTCTCGTTTCCAAAAGATTAATTAAGTAGGGTTGTAAAACTGACCTTCATGCAGCACAGTTCTAAAATGAACCAGTTATCTCGGAGTGTCGGTTTTCGAAAGAACTTATTTCCTAATGCACGCAAGAATTTAACTCTGCAAAAAATGACTACTTAAGTAGCATGCAATTTTCACATTGATTTTCGATACCCATGAAAATTCAATTACATTTCATGGAAATCATACATAAAAATATTCATTCTTTTACTTATTCACTAGAAAATCACGTCTTCTTCCAACTTTATACTTGAAATAAAGATATAATTCGGTTTCAAAAAAAGTTTCTAATTGTGAGATTTTTTAATACCGTGAAATGGCCGCTCATAAAACGCCATGCATTTGCATTTACGAATGTGGCTTGCAAAGTTAACAATATTGCTCAAATCCACTGCTTAATTTTATGAACACCATATGGTTTCCTCTTAGTGTCGTAGACAAATGCATGGTTTTACGAACAGGGAAAATATACGGCTTGTAGTTTTGAAACCCTGAATGCAAGTGTAAGAGCAGGTCTGGTTCAAAATTATTCGGGAATTAGAAACGTTCTTCAAAACCAAATTATGCTCTTCGTTCGAGTATACAATTGAAAGAAAACGTGATCTTTTACCGATTACCTAAAGGAATAAATATTTTTATGCATGTATTTCATAAAATATAATTTTATTTACATGGGTGTCGAAAATCAATAAGAAAATTGCATGCGACATAAGTAGTCATTTTCTGCAGAATAGAGGTCAGGCATGCAGTGAATAATAAGTTCAGTCGAAAGCCGATACCCTGAGGTAACCGGTTAATTACAGAAGTATGCTGTATGATTGTTTATCTTACAACCCTATTTAATTAATCTTTTCGAAACGAGAAAACATTTCGAAATTTCGGTTGTCATTTCATGAGTAAGCCCACCTGCTGTATAAGTAAAGATATAAAAATCTCATAGTTAGGAACGTTGTTAAAACCAAATTATACCCTTCTTTCTAGTATAAAATAGGAGTAGGACGCCATTTTCTACCTAATGAGCAAAAAATGAATAGTCTTATGCATGTTTCCTACGAAGTACAATTGAATCCTTAAAGGCATCGAAAATAAATGAGAAAACTTCATGCTCTGCAGTAGTCATATTTTTACGAAATGTAGTTTTCGCATGTGCCCAGAAAGAAGTTTTTTCAAAAACCGGCACCCTACGACAACTGAATTATTATAGAAGCTTGCTGCATGATGATTAATTCCAGAACCCTGTTTAAGTAGTCTTTTCGAAACGAAAACGCATTTCAGAATTTCGGTGAACATTTCCTGAGATAGCACACCCGCTCTATGCGCGTGGTTTGAATCTACAACGTGCTTTGCACGCCATGGTGAAGAAGGAGTTCATAGACTAAATCTGATATGGATGGAACAAACCCTCGTCTTTCATTTTTCTGCTAACCATTTGTGGGAGTCTTGGCGTTCACGACGCGTGCATTATTTTCGAGCCAAAAATGTGTGACATTAACCACGTCACCCCACTCGATAAAGTACTGTAATTAGTGCTTTCTTAACTGGAGTTCTGGAAAATATCTACATCTCCGGCAGCCAAGTAAAGAAAGTTAGAAGGCATGCTTTCCTATTATTTTAGGAGCATTGTCCAAGTAAATAGAGTGGATGAGTAATTTAAAAATTTAAAGCAGCTTAGTATTTAATTGCGATTCATATGAAATGCTTGGTAGGTGTGGAGAAATGAAAGATTCGGGAAGTGGCTTGTAAATAGTCAAAGAGATTTCTTTCTATGCCGTCTGGAAGTGCCTTACACGAATGCGTTAGCGAATTTCTGTTAAAATCGGAAATAGCTGCTGATTCACAAATTGGAAAGTATTCCATTGGCGTATTTCTTGAAGGTCTGGACAAATTCATTAGAGGGTGGATTATTCATGAATGGAAGTACGCGGTCAATGCGTCCGTCGATGACGTTTGGTCTCTGCAGGCCCAGAAGACTGCAAATGAGGGGATAGATGTCAACCTGATGGAATGTCTGAATTTCGTTCATCTGTTTGATGCCCGGTCCAGAAGCGACAAGGAATGGATGCATTTCGCGGAAGGAATTATCATAGCCGTGCATTCCAAACGGAGCTAAAATTTAAAAAAGGAATGAGGATGGTCTTAATTCGTCTGTGGGTTTGCTTCTTTTAAGTGACGTTTTATATTTTATCTTTGGTTGTTCTTTTAGATTACCGTGGCAAATATGCTTTCAAAATCTTTTTAGGCAAAACCTAGCTAGGACTGATAAAATTGCGTCTCCCTCTTCTTACAATGTACGTTGAAATTTTCTTTTGGCCATCCTTTTTGAGCTACAAATGAATATGACTAGTCTTCCCATGAGATGAGGAATGCAGATGGAGTAATAGACGACTGCCACTTCCCAATACAACATGTCAGTGAAAATGTATTCGTTCATTAGTCTTAGATACTTGTTATTTCGATTTCCATCTTTCTAAGAATTGACTAACTGCAGACCATTTAAATTAACTCCCAGGAAAAAAACGTTTGTCAGATTTGTGCTGGAAGACACGTTCTTCCAAATGATCGATCTACATGGAGATTAAATACTATTACGGCCTGTATCTGCGACAAACAAATCAGAAATGACTTACTGTGGATCGGAAGAAAACGCGTCTTTCGAATAAACACAGTCAAAAATTAACCGACATTTTATTTAATGCAGATGCAAAAAGTTGTCTATTTCCACGCACACCTCATGTTTGTATTTACGAAAATATACGGGTAAACATTACATTCGAAGACTTTATAATGTACGCCCATAAAAATAGTATCCGACGAAGTGGAAGACTGTACTTACGATGATCCTTGAAATAATCCTCATTGACCTTTATTAGATAACCGGGATCTGCGACCACCAGGATATCCGGCATTCGATAGCTCCTTCCATAGTGGTACTTTTCTGGAATAGTTTCCTTCCGATAAACCGTTATGTGCGAAAAATTGTGGTTAATCACATCGTCGTAGAGGGAGTCGGCCGTGTCATCTGAAAGTTCAGAGGACATATAAAGCACCTAACTGCATATCACGGTGTCAACGTCTTTGTGCCAAATACTATTTTTAGAAAAACAATGGAGATATTAAACCGATTTTCTAGACAGAAGTAAGCTGCTAAATGAAAAAATCGCATGAAGATCTACTTACTCCCTCTCGGCCACATGCCAACAACGGGCGGTGAGATGTTGCCTCTATAACGGCTCGAATTTACAGCCTCATAAAGATTGATTCTGTTAGTCTCTGGTATATAAGTCATTCCATGATCAGCCGTGACGATCAGATCTACCTTGCCGTTAAGTTTGGGATGCGATTTGATTTTTTGCAGCAGGTATGCGATTCCATCATTGACCAACTCAATTGCTTTCAGAACCTCTGTTGAGTTTGGCCCATGAGCATGACCGGACTTATCTGGTTCGTTGAAGTAAAGAGCACAAAATGTGAACTCGTCCTGTGTCATCCAGTCCATCAGACGATCGACACGATACTGGAATGTTGGATAGTCGCTGTAAAGACCGCTGGTTGCGAAGGGGTACTTGCCATTGTAAGGTTGATTGCTTCCGGGCCAGTAGAACACGCAGCTGCGACTGCCATGCCTCTGATTCGTGAGCCAGATGGGCTCGTTGTTGTTGTACTCTAGCCATTTTGGATCCATTTGCTGCGTGGCATTCTTGTAGGAGAAGGACTCCTTGAATTTTGGGTCTCTGTACTGGTTATTGTAGAGACCATGGTTCTCGACGTATCTGCCCGTGGCGATGGAATAGTGTGTAGGGAAGGTGATGGTGATGAAGACGTTTTGGACCTCAGCTCTGAAACCGTCCCTGGCGATCTCTTCGAATGCGCTGACATTGCGGCCCTTTTCCTTGGCCATTTCTATGTAGTCGTGTCGGAATCCATCCAGAGAGACGAGAACGACTTTCGCCTGACAGCATAAACAGAGAAAGAGCAACGCCCCTGCGGTGGTAACGGCAGTTCTCATGATTCCCTTATCAGCTTTTAGACTATTCACTATCGTTTTCTGTATTTATGTCATATGCGGTTGAACCGAGACCAGCTTATTTTAAATCCAATTATTCCGATCCCACCAATCGGATGTGCTTGCGATGACAAGTGCGTGCAGTTGAATAGGAGCGGAAGATGAGCATTATCTAAAGCTATGCATAATACAGCTAAAAATTAGAACGGAGCCGCAGTATTTTGAGCTTCAGCACAACGCGCACATGCGCTCTTTGTCCTCTAAATGCTCCGTATACCTGACAGGAGACTGCAAAATCACTTATTTCACTATATTTAGACCGTAAAGTATTTGTCATTTTAACGAAGAAAAAGTACTATTGAGCGCATTCGGTACTTAAAATCTGGGGTTATACGCAAATTCAAGAAAATGTCTAATCAGTCTGAAGCCGACCTTAATGAACTGAAAGCATTCTCGAGGTCAGATATGGGTATGTATTTGCACCTCAGGTATACAAACTCAGCCACCTGTAATCCGGACCGGTGGTGATAGGGCTTTTTATAGATGAGGTCGGGGAACGTACAGGCGACGAGATAAAGTAGTTGCATCCAAAAGAAAAGTTATTGGGAATGCGCAGTTGTACGTTGGGTGGTTAAGAAATAGCTGTCCTAACCCCTAAACCTAACCACTTAACCTAAACAGTAATCCTAACCTATAACCCTTGCCCCTAACCACAACCCCTAACCCTAAGCCCTAATCCTTAGACCCGAAACCCTAAACCCTAACACTAACCCCAAGCCCTGCCTCTAACACCAACCCTAAAGCCAACTCTTCAACCCTAACCATTAATCGCAGACCTAAACCCTAACCCTGAAGCATCCAGCGTGGACGTTAGAAGGAGACGATAGCCCGTAAGTCAAGAAGGACCACCGACTACCATTCCGTGCCATGTTATACTTCTATAATTTACATCTACTTAATGGATTTGAATATTTGAATCCTTAAAATGTCCACATTTAAGGGCGATTTCGGTTTCTAACTAACGTACGGTGGATGCGCTATCGCATGAACTATTATCTGAAATATTAAAATATTTTCAATACGAAAGGATTACTTGAGTAGGATTGGAATAATTATTATCATGCAGCAAAACCTAATATATTTCGGGATGCCCGTGCCCGAGTACGGAGTCCCGGGATGTTCTTTTGAACGTAGTCGGACTACTTGCGCCGCCGTGGTAGAACTATCCAAACTTAAATGGAATTCCCTCACAAAGACCAACGCATTCTTTATCACTTAAACAACATTCTCTAATGAGTTGCCGTTGGAAAACGTGATTTCGAGGGATATTTCGCCGCTTAGGTACCTGCAGGACCGTACAGAAGTGACATACGCAGCAGAGAAGTGACCGACCCTTCGAAAAGCCACGAGTTAAAAATCACAGTGTTGGCGGCTGCGTATTTGAAGGCTATCTTATTTCCATGGCGTTGGTTCTGGATTCAAAGCAAACAGTTTTGGAGGCAAGAAGAGAAGTAGATGATTCCTCCAGATAAACGTTTCAAGTATATAGCATGCATCAGTACTACCAGGTGATTAAAATTCCTTGTTGCAGCGTTAGCATCTTTCAGCTTGTATCGTAGGCTTATTGCATTCTTGTAAATGAATATTAGAACAGTATGCACAACTCCCACTTTCAAAATTAGCCTAAGTTGGCAGACCTATCTCGTGAGATATTGATTTTCGTACAGCATAGTTCTAGAATATTTCGGCCACATTAGGATAGTGGCTTTGGAATGAGCCTCTTTCCGGTCGACTGCCTTTTCCCCCTGACTGTCGATGTCCCTGCAAATTCAACCAAATTTTGTAGAACGTATGCACGATATTTCCCTTTCCTGTACTTATTGGGTAGGAAATTACGGCTCCTTACAATTGCATCATTGAGGAGAGGATATCTTTAGGCTTTAAAAATGCCTTTTCTAATTTTCGACCTGGCCCACAGTTTTAGATACACCTGGAGTTTACTAGCTTTTTGTTGTATGCTTTCTGTTTAAGGAAGATATATATTCGCATATGCCATGAGGAAGGCATCATATAAGGCTGAAGAAATCTCACAAAAAGTTTGATCTAGTTATCTACTTCATGAGCAGTATTAATAAACGTCAGTTTCGGTCCTTATAAACGGCTCTTCCTGAATGTTCAAAGTCTCATAATTATGAACGACTCTGAAGCCAATAAAGATCTTGTGTTCAGGGATAAAATTTAACGAAGACCTAATTTTCTACAGAGGGAATACAAGAAAGAATGCTTTTGTGCATACTTTCCACGAAATATGCTTGAATTTATAAAAGCATCGACAGCCAATGGAAAGATGTCATACAGCTGCAGTTGTCATTTTTTACTTACTGCGGTTTTAAAAGGCGTTCAAGGAGGAATTTATGTAAAACCGCAATCCTGACGTTGGATAGATAGCTTGGGATTAAGCTGCACGATAATCAGTATTACAGCCCTATCGTTTCCAATCGAAAACCCAATGCAGAATTCCGATTAACATACGTGAGTTTAACCTTCCCGGTCGCGAAGAGCTCTAATGATATTTCTTACAGTAATAATAAATAACACGACATAAATTTAATGAGAGGCAATGTAAGTATCCTCAAAAAGTGTGAGAAATGCGAAATAAAGTCCATTTTAATCTTGGTTTATCACACAGTACTAATTACTTATTATGCTTAAGTCAACTCTACAAAAAGGGCAGGTAAATATCACTGTGTGTGAGCTCTGTGTGCGCTTTATATTCAGGTTTAAAGTATAAATGGCAGAACGAGGGGAGTGCATTTATTTTGTACAATATCTGTTTTAAGAGTCCAAACCTAGAGTTGGTTTACATTAGCGTTTCCTTTGTAGGTCTCAGATTTTTCCTTGTTAATGAGGGTTTATGCGGAAGGTAGCATCGGTTGAATGGCGAAAATGTTCCAATTTTTGCCTTGAGCCCGGTCATTTCATAGCCAGAAAACTGGTTTGATCTTGTCGGAGAAGCCAGTGCGTCTTTACCCGCAAACTCCCGTCGTCCTGCATTTCTGAATCGTAAATGTGACATGCCGCAATTCGAATTCATAATCTAGTTTTAACTTCATTTTCACATTTTAGGAGGCTTACATGTTACAAACTGACTATGAAATTTATTGAGGCAAAACCGAGCCTTTTATCTGAGAAAAAATAATTGAAACATTAAAATTAGGCAGAGACTGAAAACTGTTAGAATTGGCAACTTCGGGGTAGACTGTGCTACATCGAATCAGAAAATAAAAAGGTTTGGATGCGTAACACCTCAATAAAATTCATTTGCTTTCAAGTGGATGGAGTCCCAATTTTGTAACCCATGGTTCTGTCCTTCGGTAGGATGCGTTTCCAGGTTCACTCTGCCGTGAATACTTTATATAAGGGAAAACGCGTTGTCTGATCTTGATTAGGTGGGATTGTTGCAATAAAGCAGTGAAAATATGCACTCGGAGCGTCACAATCATCTTGTCAAATTCCTTAAAGAAATAGACAGAAGCCACCAGAATAAAGAGTTTAATATATGTAGAGTAGAAGTGGTAGGCATTCCGAGACGATATAATGAAAAAGGAAGAGGTTCTTCGGAATTTTCCCCCAGTTGACAGTGGCTGCCTGTCGCGGCAGTCTTGAAGGAGCATTTAGATCACTTTTCTGCCATATTGAAATACTGCTCGTCCGCCAACTCCTTGTTTACCAGGGGCTGGTATGAGATACACTTCGGTAACACGTTGTTGTTGAGGCACCAACGCCAACACCGACACCAAGTGTCGTCTCTCTCTATGGCTCACAGGCGTGCGAAGTGCTGTTCAAGGTCAAACGTGCTGCGCTTAGAGGACTTAAGGCCGACAAAGGCATCGTCATCGTGCCTGCGGACAAGGTGCGTTTCACGGTTGTTTTAGACAGGACAGACTACCTTCAGAAAGCCAAACGTTTACTGGAGGACCTCCAGTTCTATGCCCCTTGAGTAACTAACCGCGTAAAAACACTGTCACGAGAAATCAATGCGACGTGTTGGCATTGGAGAATTCGGATGCAATCTCGCTGGTTGACGGACGCATGGCGACAGCCCAGGACACGACCTTGGCCTGCTTCTATGACGTTTCCAACATACACAGAGAGGGTGTCACGCTCCGGCCCATCCTCTCGCTCAAAGGTAGTCCAAATTACGGACTGGCACAATACTCGTTTCAGCGCCTCAAATTCCTGACTGCAATTTCAGACACCACAGTCAGTTCGTCAACGCAGTTCTTGGAGAAACTTAAAGGGGCATGCCTCCTGCCAAGCGACGTCATGGCATTTTTTGATGTCATGTCCCTTTTTATTTCTATTCCACAGGATCTAGTGGTCGAGATCATCGAACTTCTCCTACGAGACAAATATGATGAGACGGGAATCGCCTTGTACACGCCCAAATCCTCCAACTCCTGGGATTCTGTCTCAAAATATACTTTACGTTCGACGAAACAATCTACGAGCAGTTGAAGGGCACGCTAATGGGTGTACCGATTGCGGGACTCATAGCCGAGGCGGTCCTACAACGGGTGGAGTCGCTGTTTTTCCAACACCACAAACCGAAATTCTGGGCTAGGTATGTGGGTGAGACCTTCGTCGTCATCGAACGGGATCATGCGCTGGAATTCAAAGAACACCTCAAAGCCATCTTTTCCGACATTCAACTTACGATGGAGGAAGAGGAAAACGACCAGCTGGCCTTTCTTGTTATCCTCGCCTGCCGCAAAGATTGCGGTGGCCTAAAAACCTAAGTATTCAATAAAGCAAGAATCGCAACGCAAGTACTGAGCTGCAGCAGCAACCACCCAATCAGTCATAAACGCAGTTGCATTAGGGTGCTATATAAGCGGGTGGAGATACACTACATGGAACCGGAAGACATGGTTGCTGAATAACAATGCATTCGACTGGTGCTTAGAGTGAACGGCTACCCGCGTAAATTCGTCAAAAAGTGCCTGTGTAAACGAGGCGAAAGACAAAATCCTACCGGTACCAAATTTTGGCGAGCTATCCCGTGCGTGAAGAATTTCTCAGTAGCCGTCAGCCGCTTTCTCACACCCCTTCGAATTGGGATAGCACACAGACCGGAAGCAACCATAAGACGCCAGATCATGAGGCCGAAAGACTCACTGCCACGGCGGGAAACGTCTGGAGTAAAGGCGAAATTTTGAGTTCCAGGTGTATGCATAAGTGAAGAAGAAGAGTCGAGCACCGGAACACTTCGTTTGTTATCCTGAGCTTTCAGACTCAAACAGGTTGCCTACGTACAGACTCGCTTACGCGGTCGCCACCAGAGAACTCGTACATCAACGCCACCGACGATATGGCATTCTCTGCCATACATTAAGGGTGTTTCAGAATCGACCGAGCGCATTGCTGCGGAGCTAGGGGTTGGAATTGCACACCGCCCCATAGCCACCATGAGCAACAGGGCCATGAAAATCAAGGACTGGTTAAAGCCTGAAGAGCAATCTGGAGTAGTGTATTGCATTCCGTGTTAAAATTGTCCTTGTAACTACACAGGACAGACTGGTCGCATGCTCGGATCCCGTATACTTGAACATAAGCTGGTTGTGCGGCGAGGCGACGCATTATCACAAGTGGCCGCCACACCTACGAAATAGGTCACGAGTTTCACTTCACAGCCACCAAAATAGGCGCCCACGCAGGAAACAAAGCAGGCCGAGAATTGATTGAAGCCTGGGCCTCGGATGAGAACCCGATTTATCGATCTGGCGCCCGTGTACACAGCCCTGAGTTGTCACCTCCAGTCGTGCGACGTCGGTCGATGATTAGGCCTACGTGCCTTATAACTGCTGCTTGTCGTGTTTCTGCCACTACTACTGACGATGGACTTCTGCACGAGTCTGAAAGCTCAGGATAATAAACGAAGTGTTCCGGTGCTCGAATCTTCTTCTTCACATCTAGAGTCGTTTATCGAATCTGTTGCAGTTGTGAGCCAAGCAAATATGTCGGAGAAACCGGAGAAATACTCTGTGCGCGGTTGGCCGAGCACGCGACAGCACTGAGAAGGAACGACTCCAATTCCCAAGTCGCGGTTCATTCGGCGAGACCCAACCACACATTCAAGTTGTACGAAGCAGAAATTCTTGCTAGAGGCGACAACCGCGTGAGCCGTGAACTGCTCGAGTCATGGTTTTCCGGTCCATAATCAATCAAGAAGCACAACAACATCCCTATTCCACATTCGACGCTGACATTTAGCCTAGGCAAAGTATTTAGCCCCGAGGAGAACGTGCGGATAACCTCTGTCCCCGGTATCAATGTTGGCGAGTCAAATCACCCAATAGTCCACACGGATGACGAAATCCGGTAGTCAGCATCTCGGTGGCGTGTGACAAGTGTGGGGACCGATAATCTTAACCGGCATACAGGCGCATGGCGACTGCATGACAACGGCATACTTCAACACCTGGCCAATCGAGCCGTGATGCACTCGGGAGCTGATAACTGTGATAGGCATGTTACGGCCTAGCAACTAAATCTTTCAAGTATTCCAACACCTGGGCAAATTACCACCATTATTTGACTCTGTCTCTGATGGTGGATTCGATTGAGTATCCGAAACGCCAGGCCAATAAGACATTCGTTCCAGCGACTACTTCCCGGATCTCGTCTGTTTGCATCCATTAGCAAAAGCTCATGCTTTCCATGTCTTTTTCTTTGATATTCCTTTCCTGTCTGAATAACTGTTTTTTTTTCCTAACCAGATCCGTGGAGATGTAAATTGATGCTGCCATCCAAAATTCCACGTTACTGTCTCAAAACTACTTCATTAAAGGTCCTTTTGCCAAACTGCGAAAAACTGAACGGCTTCGTGGGGATTTGAAGCCCAGACATCAGGGACAAGGTTTGAATACAGCCAATGCTCTAACCACCTGCGATACGAGGCCCAGCCACCAGCCGTATATTCCATCACATTTGGGTCAAGTTGCACGCAGAGCCTACTGCAATTTATGCAACCCACCTGTTCTGATTTAATAAGTTGACTACCCAAGCAGTATTTCCTAAACTATCAACCGACAATGCGCCAGATGACTGCAAAGCCGTCGTTGGTTCGAATTCCACTCATACCGCCGAGGTCTTCATGATTGGGTTAAAGGAATTATTAAAATATCTCGAAACAGCTATTTATGTTTTATACTTATTATCTGCGCCATGTTCTGCGAATTTCTTTAGTCGTTCATTAAGATAAATATTGCATGCATGTTCGAACCTCCGCAAGTGATCAAGTTCCCATCTAGCGTATTTTTAAGCCTTTCTGATTCTGAAATGTATAGTGTTCGATGGAGAACAGATTTTATGCCATCGCTTCTGGGAAGATGCCTTATCACGAAATCGCTCCTGGAAAACTCAAGTACGCCACTTTTAAACGTCCTATCTCGTGGCATACGTACTAGCATCGGAGATCCAGGAGGCCAGATGTCCAGAAATAAATCCCGCCAAATCGATCGGTGAGCGCCCACCCGCCATTATGCATTCCGATCGCTACCGACAGAACAACGAGGCAGTGGCTCAGCGGTTAGAGGCGTTGAACTCTTAACTAGCAGGTCGCGATTTCAAGCCCCAGGTGTTCCACACCTCGGGGCTGGGTATGACTGGCTGACGACGGCTAATAAGCCAGGAATGGCCATTCTAGTCTCCCTTGTCTTTGTCGATAACAACACTCGGTCTAGGATTTACATGCTCTACTAGCTTTGGTAGAGGTAGTTTGGAGTCGGTGTCAGTAACGCTAATCCCAGTCGGAGTTTAATGAATCCGCAGAAATTAGCCCGTTTAATTAGAATAAATTCCTCCAAGCAAGTTGTTTTAGCCCTGGTCCGTGAGTTGATATGGATATTTCAGTTAAAGTTCATAAGCTTCAGAGGGATAACGACAAATTATCCAACCGCTGTAGGACCGCCTCGGCGAGGTGGTCCTACAGCGGTTGGAGTCACTGGTCTTCCAACACCAGAGACCAAAATTCTGGGCTCGGTATGTGGACGATACCTTCGTCGTCATCGAACGGGATCAGGTGCTAACGTTCAAAGAACGTCTCAACAACGTCTTCCCGGACATACAATTTACGATGGAGGAGGAAGAGAATAACCAGCTGGCATTCCTTGATGTCCTCGTCTGTCGCAAAGATTGTGGTGGCCTAAAGACAAAAGTGTTCAGAAAAGCGACGAACACGACGCAAATACTGAACTTCAACGGTAACCACCCAGTCAGCCACAAACGCAGTTGCGTAAGAACCCTAGTTCGGCGTGTTGAGACACACTGCAGTGAACCGGAAGACAAGGTTGCCGAATTCCAATATCTTCGACGGAGGTTGATGCCCCCAAACGCCTGGGTTGTGCTTCGAAGCCCCTGATTACCATATTGATGCTTAAGAAACATCAGCCATCTCAGTCTCGGTCACTGAAGTAGAGACACAACGGGAGAATGTTCAAATTATGCACAGTTTGCTGTGAGAGAAAAGCGTTTGGCGCCGGCTAATTAATCGAATCGGTTGCTCGGATGTGGTTATGTAACCCCACCTGAATTAAACAAACCCCAGCTACCTGTAATACGGGATCGTTGGTAATAGGGGTTTTTACAGATGGGGCGGGGGAACGCACAGGCGACGAGGTCAAGTAGTTATAATCAAATAAAAGCTAGTGGGAATGCGCGGTTGTACTTAAAATGGTTGAGAAATATTTGCCCTGACTCTGGCCCTATCTCCTAACTCCAGCCCCAACGATATCTTTTCCATCAGGTGGGGCTACATAACCATTTCGTGCCAGTCGATTTGTTGAGGTTCCGCTCCTGTCCACGAAAGCATACATTTGACCCAGCTAAGGATATTTCTCATGGCCAATGTCAGTGTTTTGTCCGCATAGAAAATGCAGGGCTAAAGCAAAGTTACTTTTGCCTATCTGTGGGCGAGAAGGAATACACTCACATAAATACTGGTTGTGAATACAAAAAAACGTCAGTTTAGGTGCTACGCGGCCGATTCTCGATTACCAGGAGCGGACAAAGTAACCGGACAAAAGGTGCCCCGTTGAACTTGCCGTATCCAAAAAATATCTTTGGCATAGTATGGAGAGTTTTCTAGCCGTTAGGGCAGACCACATGGGGAGTCCAGTCAGACACGGGAATACGGGTCTCTCTGTTAAGTTCCAGCGAAATATCGATTTCCGTGTCTAAGCTTCGACCCGGATTCTGGCATTAACCTTCATCACCCTAACCCTGACCTCCCTCTGCAATCTGGGGAAAGATCATCGAAATACGGATAGGAGTCCATGTATCCCTCAACCACCGTAGGTCTTTAGATGAATCTATTCGTCAATATGTACAGGGCGTGACCGATCTCATGAAATTTTGGCCAAAATGTTGAAATACGTTTTCGATTAGGAGGGATTACTAAGGTGGGATTGTAATATTACTTATCACGCGACATAATCCTATAGTATTTCGGACTCGTCAGGATGTCGGCTTTTGAATGCGCTACTTTTCGACCTCCCGCAGAAACCACAATCAATAAAAAGACTACATATGTGGCATGCATTTTTCGTTTTGATTTCCGATGGTTTTATAAATTCAGATATATTTTTTAGACAGATTGCACAAATTATGCCTGCTTTTACGCATGTGGTATAAATTTAAATCATTTTTACATTTTATACTTCAAAAAACGTATATTTAGGTATTTAAAAATTTTCCAATTTCCGAATATTTTTGAGCCAGATCAGCCGTTGCATTAGCGTTTAGCGATTCCAGTCTACAAGTTACATGCTATTCGCGTAAGGAAAGACATATATTTCTCTATGCCTTTAAGAAAATACGATGTAGAGTTCATTAAAATTTTGTAATGGATGCTGACTGTGTTGTACGTTTCATAAGGAACACTGGTAAACTGGCACGTGCGATGCTGTATGTACGGACATCGCACGATCTTGAAAATGTTATAATAAGAAACTTTTCTAAAACCGAAGGATACCATTTATTCGAGTATAAAATGTGCAACTAATGTGCTTCTCTACCAAACGCGTAAAAGAGAGCATATTTTTGGGCATTTTTTCTAAAAAATATATTTGAATTTATAAGACCATCCGCAATCAATTTGGAAACTATATTCCACTTACGTAGTCCCTTTTTATTGATTGTGGTTTCTGCGGGGGGGGGGGGAAAGAAGTGCATTCAAAAGCGGACATCCTGACGAGTCCGAATTACTGTAGGATTATGTCGCATGATAAGCAGTATTACAGGCTCACCTAAGTAATCCGTCGTAATCGAAAACTCATTGCAAAATTTCAGTCAACATTTTATGAGATCGGTCACGCACTGTACATCAGTCCTTGTGAGACGGACCCGGTCTTGACGAACGCCGTGTCTTGGTCAGTAAAAATAATGAATTTCGCTGTACTTGAAGTCATTTCTGAAGTCAAAACCGGCAAACGTACGCTTTCGATTATTCACCATCAGGCCTGTACGGTAACATAGGGGGGGGGGAGGGGGCAGACTAGCAAAAGTTAAACATCCAATGAAAGACAATCTGGGGGAGAGGGTTGTGGAGAGTTCAGAGGTCGGGTGCTAGTTGTGTCTGAGGATTAGGGAGATGGAGGGGTGAAGGGTTGAGGGGCGTTCAGAGGTGGCAAAAAGTCCAACTGTGTATCACTCGGATGACATCTGCCACCGGGTAGACGTCGACCAAGCATTCCGAGTCATCCTATAGCTCCTGCGTCAGCTGATACTTGCGACGGCAGAGGTAGTGGCCATTCGGTTAGCCAACCCAGCCTTGTGCTCGCAAAAAGCGTTTATAAAAGCCCTAAGGCTCCTCTGGACACCCACCACATCGCGTTTCACCGATGAAACGGGGACAGGTAATTGCCAGATACCCTCCCCTCCCCCACGCTAAGCCCCTGACAAAGATACAAGCTGAACCCTAACCTCTGAAACGTCTCAACCCTCTCCCCTACACCCACTTTTAATTGACTGTTACACTCTTACTAATCTATCCCCCCCTTATAGTTTTGTGCTGGCCTGGTTATTAATAATCAGATGTGTACGTTTGTTGGACGTGACTTATTAAATTACTCAGATTATCGTGAACCCATTCGAATTATTTCGGCTACATGGTCTTCTTGTAGAACGCACCCAATTTTGCATCACAAACAGGGTGCTCAAATGTTCGCGCCAATTTCCCTCACTAGACTCAACTGAACTGAAATATCGTATCTCTTACCCAGGCTCCCCTGAGTAAAGACAAACTCGGCATACGTATTCACACCCGCCACGTCGGGTCACACTGATTAATCACGGATAGATAATCGCCGGACACCTTACCCTCCCCTTCCTCTCCCTAAGCCTCAGACAGAAGTAGGCTTTGACCAATGACCTGAGCACGCCCCTCAAATCTCTCATCGTATATGGGTTTTTATCGGATGTTCAAATTTGCCATTCTGTCTCCCCCCCCCAGGCCTGATGATAAATAATCGAAAGCGTCCGTTTATCGGACTTGACTTCTTAGATATCTCCATGGCTATCATCGCTGAACTATTTATCCTTCGAAAATTCTCTTCTGTATTTACAGTTTAATCGACATCCTGAGTCGTAGCCCCACTTTGTCAGGGTCATATGCGGTGATGTAAAGTACTTTTCAACGACTGATCACAAAGACATCGCATTCCTCGAAGAAATAACAGCAAGTTATACGTTTGGCCGTAACAGTAACACCCAAGTACCCACCAAAGAGAACGCTCTAATTGCAGTGGCCTAGAGCTACTGGTTTAATTATGTTAAAAGTCATTTCTGAAGTCAAGACCGGCAAACGTACGCTTTCGATTATTCACCATCAGGCCTGTACAGTAACATAAAGGAGGGCAAAGGGGGGCAGAAGTTAAACAGCCATTAAAAGTCAGTATTGGGGGGAGAGGGTTCGGGAGGCGTTTAGAGGTCAGTCTAGTTCTGTCAGTGCTTATAAAGGGGTGAGGGGGAAGGCGTTTGGCCATTAGCTGTCCCTATTTTATCGCTGAGACGCCACGTGGCGGCGGATATGGACAGATATGCTGGGTTTGTCTTTGCACGGGGTAAACTTAGCGCTTGTACAAACGCTTTGGCTAACCGTATGACCACTGCCTCTGCCGTGTTCACGCCCACCATGTCGCGTTACAGCAATAAAACAGGGGTAGCTAATGGTCAGACGTCTGCCCTCTCCATCTCCCACTCCCTAAGCCCCGGACAAAACTAGAGTCTGACCTCCGAACCCTAAACGCCCCTCAACTCTCTCCCCCTATTGACTTTTGTTGAATGTTTAACCCGACTTCTTATGCAGTAGGTGGGATAACTGGTGAAATATCAACTGAAATTCCGAAATCCGTTTTCGTTTCAAAATGATTAATTAAGTAGGGTTGTAAAATTAGTCAGTCTACAACATAATTCTATAATTTTTTAGTTACCTCAGGATTACGGCTTGAACTTCGTAGCGGCTGAATACAAGAACTACACTCTGTAAAAATGACTACTTAAGTGGCATGAAATTTTCTCCTTTATTTTCTTTGCCCCTAAAAGTCTAATTACATTTCATGAATAAAAATATTCATTCTTTTGCTCATTCGGCAGACAATCACGTCTTCTTCCAATCTTATACTCGAAGGAGGGGTCTAATTCGGTTTTCAAAAGCTTTTGGATTTCCGAATAATTTTGAACCCGCTCTACCGTTACAATTGGATTCAGGGTTTCCAAACCACAAGCCGTATATTTTCCGCGTACGGAAAACCACACATTTCTCTACGGTAATAAAGGGGGGGCGATAGATGGTTCATAGAATTAAGCTGTGGATTTGATCCGTATTGTTAGCTTTACAAGCCACATTTGTAAATGAAGAGACATGACGATTTATGAACGGCCTTTTTACGGTATTTGAAAGGCCCACAATTACAAACTTGTTTTAAACTGAATTATGCCCTTCTTCGAGTAGAATATCGAAAGAAGAAGTAATGATCCACCGCATGAGCAAAGGAATGAATATTTTATTAATGTTTTCCATGACATTTAATTGGACATTTAGGGGCATCGAAAATCAGTGAGAAAAATTTGTGCTACATAAGTAGTCATTTTTTACAGAGTGCATTTTTTGCATGCAGCCGGAAGGAAGTTCATTCAAAAGCCAGCATCCTGAGGTAACTTACAAATTATAGAATTATGTTGCAGGCTGGCTAATTTTACAACCCACCTTTATTAATCTTTTCGAAACGAAAACTCATTTCGGAGTATCGGCTGACATTTCATGAGTTAGTCCACCTCCTGTATGTTTATATGTATTTCGTCGCTGAAGCCCTTTCTCTCTCAAGGTATCCCTCCATCGCTAGGCGACAAAGATATCTCTAGCGGATAATATTTTACCTAGAGCCAGGTAGTCGTAGGAAATCCGTAATCGCGAGACTGCAAAGGGATGTTGGCGAATGATTAGGCTATGTTTTCAGTATGCTCTCTCGAAAGCGAAACCGAAATTCCGTCCAGTGCCGGCGATTCGTCTGTATTCAAGTTCCTAAATTCAGCGCTTGCAGCGAACTTGGTCAACGGAATTGCGATAATAGAGTGCACCAAACGTTGTGAGCTCGAACGGTTGGCTGTCACTTCGGGTGCGACAGTAGAGACTGAGAGGAAGAACTTTGACGGAGATTCGTCGCTCTGAAGTCCGTCGCCCATGTAGCTATTTTCGTCACCGTTTACAGCAGCAGGATTGCTCTGATTTTCGCGTTCCTCATAAAATGGACACATTTAGGGATTTATGCATAATTTCGATGGCGAAGTTTTATTTGAAAGTCTCTCCTGCCTCTCGCAGTAGCCCCCTGCCGCAGTGTCGAATAGCTTCCTGTGACGGTTGGTTATGCCGTCCAAGCCTACTACTAAGTTTCGCTATTGAATTTGAACAGGGTTCTACCGCCGAGCATTATTTTTGCGATGATATTCTGATGCCTGCTTTGTCATCCCCAACTAATTCCGGAAACGTACGCTGATTGTAACCACCCTCACAAATTCCGAGTCACATTTCCGGATAACGAGTGTGGATTTCTACTCTTTTCGGACACAGGCAAGAGAGGTGGCTTACATCAATGGGAGATCAAATAAGTCAGAATTAACGTAGGAACTGCATTTGCCTCGTCTGCGCCTTCCTCCCTCCCATTGTGGGAGCATGAGTTCGGCGTAGCCCTACCCAACAGTTAGACCGTGACTTGCTCGTGAATTAGTTCATAGTGATAGGAGACTTGCTCAGCATATACCGTACTCTCTATTTCCCACTCCCTACCTGGACACGCCGTCAGGACAGAGTCAAGAAGACCGGGGGGCGGAGGAGGGCGCAGGTTTCTGGCACGGCTAGACCCGCACCAAGGTGTGCCACCGCACCCCCTTGTACACAACATACACTTGACCAGGACCTTTCTACAACAACAACACCCGAACAGGGGTCAGAAGGACGACGGTGAGGATGATTGGGCAGCCATGCTCACGACATGTATACCCAGCGGGAGCGCAAGCGCATCCACTGGCAGGGGACTAGGTGTCAGGGAACTGCCAACAAATACCAGGGAGCGAGGACCATGGTTTGCTGATACTGGCATAGCATATTTTTTCCGGCCTTTTACCTAGAAACTCGACACGTGGCCTGGCGTTTAGCCTGAGCCGTCACCCTTCAAGGTTGGATAACCAAACATTCGCCGACTGAGAGGCACTACCCATAAAGCACACACACACACACTCTTCTCAAATGCATGAGTGTCACAGATAGCCTGAGAAGGGGCCGTGACAGCCTGACCCTCAGCCCACAAGTCCACCAACCCGCACAACACACAAGTGGACACACTGCGTAGACTGAGTTGGGGCGTCAGTCAGCTGCCACGGCGCTCGACGCATCGTCTTGGGCGCAGATTCCGATCACACATGCTGCATGGGCGCCCCATGGTGAAGGGATTGAGACGCACACTTCCAATTTGCGTGGAAAGTGGCAGTTGGGGACTTGCGGTGGGTGATATTGATGTGCGATGAGATGCTGGTAAGGGAGGATGTGATGGTGTGCCGCAGCCGGCGGTTGTCTATCGTAGGATTACGTTGACGCACATGTGGCCTAATAGACCCATACGGTGAATGAATGTGCGGATGAAATGTGGACAGTGGAGGCGGATGCGGCGAGTGTAGGTTAGTGCTCTAGGCATTGGTTCGCCAGTCTCTGTGCGATGAATTCGCAAGTGACCAGCCAGGCCAATGTGTGAGGTGGAAGTGCGATCGCAATGAGGAGAGGTATAGATCGGATCCACGTCACTGGTCTTGACGGTGGTGGTGTTCGTTGGTGTGCAGGGGTTGTGTGTAGTGTGGATTGGCACAGCAGACGCCACGGCGGAAGACGTTGAGGCGATGGAGTAGGAGAAGGAGAAATAGGAGGAGGAGAAGAAGAAGAACGTTAGTGGTGGTTCGGGAGGGCGGTCAACGTTCGTTGACGGCGTTGGAAGCGAGGGGGAGGTGACGGAGAGACGACTATTGGTGATTGGTCCGAGTGATGCAGTTGGTTTTAAAGTGTCCAACATGCCCAATTGGAGTCCGGAATGTCCGTTGAAATCGCTGGACGAGGTCTTCCCAGTTTGCCGGGTTGATCTGCAGGCGCTTCAGAGAGGTTTACGGAGTATCACTGTGGCACTGGACTTGATATCCATAAGAGTCGTTTGGGTAGTCTCTCGCCGTCCATCCGTACATGGTGGCCGCTCTAGTGTAGTTGCAGTTGTCTCAACATAGTGTAGATGCTGTGGATTCCCGTCCGCTACAGTACGTCCGTGTCTGGGTCCGGTCCTGCCGCCTCAACTTCAGAATTAGACGAAGGCAACTGAGATAGAAGTGGTTAAGCCTACGTGCCTGCTTCTTGTACACAGTCCAAGTCTCTGCTGCATACAGCATCGTCGATAGGATGATGACCTTGTAGTCTTTGGTTTTGTGCTTAGTTGAAGACCTTGTCGATTCCAAACTCTGTTTTGAAGACGAATGAAGGCTTAAATGGCCCTGAAAATCCGGCGGGCCACTTCATTGTAGCTTTTAGTGATGCGGAAGGGTTGCTGCCCAGATACGTGAAGTTGTCCACCACTTGCAGTTGGGTTCCGTTTATGCTGATTTTCGGTGCATTGTGGGCAATGGTGGCTGGTGGTTGGTGCATGATCACCGTCTTCTCCGTGCTGATGATCAGGCCAATGTTTTCGCAGGCCGTGGACAAGAGATCCACGCTCCTTTGCATGTTCTCTTCAGTAGTTGCACTAAGGGCGTAGTCATCGGCGAGCAAAAGATCGTGGAGACGCGCGATTGAAAGTGCCTCCTCCGGTGATTGAGCAGTTGTCTGTCCATTCTGTAGGCGACGCGGAGCACAGGGCGCCCTTCACAATAGGCATACATCAACATGGCGGAGAACATGAGACTAAAGAGTGTAGGCGTGAGAACGCAGCCCTGCGTCAGTCCGTAAGACACTGCGAATGCCTCTGAGACAGCTCCATTATCCGTGACTCGCGTCATCATACCATCCTGGAGCTGACGCACTATATGAGTGAATTGCTCAGGACAGCCGAATGTCAGTATGATTTTCCACAGTTCTCCGCCATTCACCGTATCGAAGGCTTTCGTCAGATCCGCGAAGGTAGAGTAGAGGTGAATTCGCAGCTACTAGCACTCCTCCTGCGGGTAACGGGCTGCAAAGAGCATGTCCGTGGTTTCATGATGACGACGGAAGCCGCACTAACTTTCCGGTAGATGGCCCTGTTCCAGGTGGTTGTTCAGAAAGTCGAGGAGAATGCGAGTGACGATCTTCTCAGTGATGTTCAGCGAGGGAGGGGCCTCCGTGGTTGTCACAGATGTGGTCATTCCCTCTCCGCCTTATAGATGTGCACAAGCATGGCGTACTTTAAATCCTGCGGGACCTCTTCTGACGCCACATCTCCTGGAATAGCGTCGTCGGATGCTCCATGACTTGGGGGGCACTGCATTTGTAGATCTCGCCAAGGATCGCGTCCGATTCGGACGCTTTCCCGCTGGAGAGCTGCACGACCCTGATGTTTAGTGGAGAGAGGGTAAGAGGTCGAGGTCGGCGTTGGTCTCTATCTAAGGCAGATGGGCGATGGCGGCGTCGGAGATGCTGGAGGGACGGTTGAGGACGCCTCGGAAGTGCTCAATCCCTCACTGTAAAATAAGTGTCTTATAAGTGAGTAGGGTACTGCCGTCGGCACTGAGAAGATGTGCAGTTCCTTTGGTTGGCGGACCGTAGACAACTTTGATGGGGGGCGAAGAAATCCTAGCATTCATTGCGGTCCGCGTATCCTTGGATCTCCTCGGCCCCGCGAGCCGTCCAAACGTCCTGCAACACCCGCAGCCGCTGTTGCATAAGGCGGCGACTACGGTAAAAGCTGCTTTGTTGTCGTTGGTGGGACGGTCGACGTAGGCCTTCTGCAGGCGGCTGTTTTCGGCAAGCAGGTTGCTGATAGCGGCGTCGTTGTCATCGAATCAGTCCTGATGTTGGCGATGTGCGCAACCGAGGACAGCCAGGACCGTCGACTGGACTGTGTCCGGGAGATGAAACCATCGGGAGCAGGTCATTGTCATTGGAGCCGTTGAGATCATGGGGACCCAGCACTCCTCTATAGGCAGCGTGGTCTGTGCCGACGCGGGCGTTAAAGTCATCAGGGACAATCACCTTATTCGCCTTCGGCACAGACGCAAGGGCAGCGCACCGGTCCTCGTAGAATTTGTTCCTCGCCTCATCAGGGCTGGTTATTGGGAAAGCGTAGACATTGACGATAGTGGTGAATTTGCCTCCCTAGAGAGGCAGGCGGAGGCTCATCAGGCGATCGTTGATATCCGGCGGCAACCAGGGCAGTCGTCCCACGATGTCACTCCGGATGGCAAAGGCGACGCCTGAGTCCTGTCGCTTTGTCCTGAGGCGACCGCTCCAGAAGAAGGTGTAACCGGCACCCACCTCCTCCAGTTGGCCTTGTTCGGAGAACCGGGTCTCGCTGAGTGCGGTGATGTCCACCTTGTAGCGCGCCAGTTCCCGTGCCACTAGCGCAGTCCTTCGTTCCGGTCGGTTGCTCCTTGAATTGTCTCAAATGGAACGAAAATTCCAGGCTTCAAGAGTGAACGGACTCATCGTACTGGTCTAGCAAGTGGGACAGCGGGAAGAAGGATGGAAAAGAGAGAGAGTGTCAGAAGGGCATTACCGACAAAGAGATGGGAGACTGGAATGGCCATTTCTGACCGATTAGCGGTCGTCAGCCAGCCATACCCAACCTCGAAGTGTGGAACACCCGAGGCTCAAACTCGCCACCTGTTATTTAGAAGTGAACGCCTCTATCCACTGGGCCACGAGCCCGTTGCCTTGTCGGTTTCGATCGGGAATATACAATGGTAGTGGGCGCTCACCGATAGTTATTACGGAATTCACTCGTTCCGTTGTGCCTTATGGGCTCTCTGTCGAGCCCAACCAGCAGCCGCACAGCGGCGCATGATATAGGAAGAATGGCATTACCGACAAAGAGAAGGGAGACTGGAATGGCTATTTCTGGCATGTTAGCCGTCGTCAGCCATCCAGAGAGAGTGTCTTTTCTGTTTGGTTGTTTCGACCGTGGCTTTTGTGTCTGCCGCAGACGGCTTTGTAACCCAACATTTGTTCAAGGCACGTTTTCTAATCCATCCTCCTTTGCGAGGATGAGCAGTGCTCTCTTTAAATAGGGCTGTTCAGTTGTCCCAGGCGGCTCCCGAACTCCACTATGGGCCACACATTTTGCTCAATTGAAGAGCGACTCGAGTTAGTCTGCGGCTGCCTACTTCACCGCGGTAAGGTCGATGAGGGGAGGGGGATGTGAGAAGTGCAGAGAGGCGGGATGCAGAGCTTTCCCGTCCCTCACAAAGCTGGCTGGCATCTGAATTATAAACGATGAGAAGACACATTTAAAATAAAATGGTGACCAGCCAACGTTGCTTTCGCTAACTTCTGGTCAGTCCATTGCAGTTATATGGGATGGGGAGCAGTGAGTGAACAAGATCAATAAGAGTTCGTTTTTTTAAAATACAGGATAGGCAAAAGAGGAAGGGTGCAGAAAGTTGTATATGGTTAGTCAATCTTTGAACGATGTTAAAATTGCATGCTACTTAAGTAGTCATTTTCTGCAGAATAGAGGTCATGCATGCAGTCAGGAATAAGTTCGTTCGAAAGCCGATACCCTGAGGTAACCGGTTAATTATAGAAGTATGCTGTATGATTATCAGTTTTACAACCCTATTTAATTAATCTTTTCGAAACGAGAAAGCATTTCCAAATTTCGGTTGACATTTCATGAGTAAGCCCACCTGCTGTATAAGTAAAGATATAAAAATCTCATAGTTAGGAACGTTGTTAAAACCAAATTATACCCTTATTTCTAGTATAAAATAGGAGTAGGACGCCATTTTCTACCTAATGAGCAAAAAATGAATATCCTTATGCATGTTTCCTACGAAGTATAATTGAATCCTTAAGGGCATCGAAAATTAATGAGAGAACTTCTTGCTACTGGAGTAGTCATTTTTATACGGACTGTGGTTTTTGCATGTGGCCGGAAAGAGGTTCTTTCGAAAACCGGCATCCTACGACAACTGAATTATTATAGAAGCTTGCTGCATGGTGATTAATTCCAGAACCCTGTTGGAGTAGTCTTTTCGAAACGAAAACGCATTTTAGAACTTCGGTGAACATTTCCTGAGATAGCACACTTGCTGCATGCGCGTGGTTTGAATCTACAACGTGCTCTACACGCCATGGTGAAGAGGGAGTTCATAGACTGAATCTGATGTGGATGGAACATACCCTCGTTTTTCATTTTTCTGCTAGTCCTTTGTGGGAGTCTTGGCATTCACGTTACGGTCATTATTTGCGAACCAAAAATGTGCGACGTCAACCATGTCATCCCACTCGATAAATTACTGTACTTAGTGCTTTCTTGACTGGAGTTCTGAAAAGATTGAAATCTCCGGCGGCCACGTAAAGGAAGTTAGAAGGCATGCTTTCCTATTATTTTAGGAGCATTGCCCAAGTAAATAGCGAGGATGAGTAACTTAAAAATTTAAAGCAACATAGTATTTTATTGCGGTTCATATGAAATGCTTGTTAGGTGAGGAGAAATGAGAAATTCTGGAAGTCGCTTGTAAATAGTAAAACTAGATTTCCTTTTACGCCGGCTGGAAGCGCCTTACACGGATGCGTTAGTGAATTTCTGTTAAAATCGGAAATAGCTGGTGGTTCACAAATTGGAAAGTATTCCATTGGCGTATTTCTTGAAGGTCTGGACAAATTCCTCAGAGGGTGGATTGTTCATGAATGGAAGTACGCGGTCGATGCGTCCGTCGATGACGTTTGGTCTCTGCAGGCCCAGAAGACTGCAAATGAGGGGATAGATGTCAACCTGATGGAATGCCTGAATTTCGCTCATATGTTTGATGCCCGGTCCAGAAGCGACAAGGAATGGATGCATTTCGCGGAAGGAATTATCATAGCCATGCATTCCAAGTGGAGCTAAAATTTGCAAATGCATGAGGATGAGCTTACTTCGTCTGCGTGTTTGCTTCTTTCGAATGGCGACTTATTTTTTGTTTTTGTTTGTTCTTTTAGATTACCGTGACAAATATTCTTTCAAAATCTATTTAATCAAAACCCATCCAGGGTTTATAAAATTACATCTCGCTTTTCTTGGAATGTGCATTGAAATTTTCTTTTGGCCGTCCCTTTGGAGAGACAAATGAATATGACTAGTTCTCCCATGAGATGTGGAATACAGATGCAGTAATAAACGACTGCCACTCCCCACTACAACATGTCAATGCGAATGAATCCGTCTATTAGTCTTAGCTACTTGCTATTTTAATTTCCATCTAAGAATTAACTAACTGCAGACAATATAAATCAGCTTCCAGGAAGACACTCTATTTCAAAAAGATCGAACTAGGTGGAGGTTAAATACTCTTACTGCCTGTATCTGCGACAAGCAACCAGAAATGGCTTACTGAGAACTGGAAAAAATGCGTCTTTCGAATTGGCACAGTCAAAAATTGACTGGGGCTATAGTTAATGCAGATGCCAAAAGATGTCTATTTCGACGCACATCTCATGTTTCTATTTACTAAAATATACGGGTAATACATTGCACTCGAATATTTTATAGTGTACTTCCACAGAAGTAGCAGCGAATGAAGTAGAAGAATGTACTTACGATTATCTGTGAAATAATCTTCCTTGACCTTTATTAGATAACCAGGATCTGCGACCACCAAGATATCCGGCATTCGATAGCTCCTTCCATAATGGTACTTTTCTGGAATAGTTTCCTTCCGATAAACCGTTAGGTGCGACAAATTTTTCGCCATCAGATCCTGGTAGATGGATTTGGCCGTGTTATCTGAAAGTTCAGAGGACCGCATATCACGGTGTCAACGTCCTCTAGCCGAATACTATTTTTTAGAAAAGCATTGAAAATATTAAATGGATTTCCTAAACAGAACTATGCTGCTAAGTGCAAAAATCGCATCAAGAGCAACTTACTCCCTCTTGGCCACATGCCGACAACAGGCGGCGAGATGTTGCCTCTATAACGGTCTGAAGTTACAGCCTCATAAAGATTGATTCTGTTTTCCAGCGGTATATAAGTCATTCCATGATCAGCCGTGACGATCAGATCTACCTTGCCGTTAAGTTTGGGATGCGATTTGATTTTTTGCAGCAGGTATGCGATTCCATCATTGACCAACTCAATTGCATCCAGAACCTCTGTTGAGTTTGGCCCATGAGCATGACCGGAATGATCTGGTTCGTTGAAGTAAAGAGCACAAAATGTGAACTCGTCCTGTGTCATCCAGTCCATCAGACGATCGACACGATACTGGAATGTTGGATGGTCGCTGTAAAGACCACTGGTTGCGAAGGGGTACTTGCCCTTGTAGGGTTGATTGCTTCCGGGCCAGTAGAACACGCAGCTGCGACTGCCATGCCTCTGATTCGTGAGCCAGATGGGCTCGTTGTTGTTGTACTCCAGCCATTTTGGATCCATTTGCTGTGTGGCATTCCTGTAGGAGAAGGACTCCTTGAATTTTGGGTCTCTGTACTGGTTATTGTAGAGACCATGGTTCTCGACGTATCGGCCCGTGGCGATGGAATAGTGTGTAGGGAAAGTGATGGTGATGAAGACGTTTTGGACCTCAGCTCTGAAACCGTCCCTGGCGATCTCTTCGAAGGCGCTGACATTGCGGCCTTTTGCCTTGGCCATTTCTATGTAGTCGTGTCGGAATCCATCCAGAGAGACGAGAACGACTTTCGCCTGACAGCATAAACAGAGAAAGAGCAACGCTCCTGCGGTGGCAACGGCAGTTCTCATGATTCCCTTACCACCTTTTGACTAGTCAGTATCGTTTTCTGTATGTATGTGATATGTGGTTGAACAAAGTCCAGCTTATTTTAAATCCAATGATTCTGATCCCACCAATCGGATGTGCTTGCGATGACCAGTGCGTGCAGTTGAATAGGAGCGGTAGATATGCACGATCTGAAGCTCAAATGAAAATGGAGCCGCGGTTTATGCGCTCCAGAACGACGCACACATGCGCTCTTTGGCCTCTAAATGCTGGCATCATACCTGGCAGGAGACTGCAAAATCACTTATTTCACAATATTCAGACCGCAGAGTATTTGTCATTGTAACGAAGAAAAAGTACTGTTGAGCGCATTCGGTAGTTAAAATCAGGGATTATGCGCAAATTCAAGAAAATGTCTAATCAACCTGAAACCGACCTTAATGAACTGAAAGCATTCTCGAGGTCAGATATGGGTATGTAGTTGCAACTCAGGTATACAAACTCAGCCACCTGTAATCCGGACCGGTGGTGATAGGGCTTTTTATATATGAGGTCGGGGAACGCACAGGCGACGAGATAAAGTAGTTGCATTCAAAAGAAAAGTTATTGGGAATGCGCAGTTGTACGTTGGGTGGTTAAGAAACAGCTGTCCTAACCCCTAAACCTAACCACTTGACCTAAACAGTAATCCTAACCTATAACCCTTGCCCCTAACCATAACCCCTAACCCTAAGCCCTAATCCTTAGACCCGAAACCCTAACCCCTAATACTAACCCCAAGCCCTGCCTCTAACACCAACCCTAAAGCTAATTCTTTAACCCTGACCATTAATCGCAAACCTAAACCCTAAACCTGAAGCATCCAGCGTGGAAGTTAGAAGGAGACGATAGCCCGTAAGTCAAGAAGGACCACCGACTACCATTCCGTGCCATGTTATACTTATATAATTTACATCTACTTAATGGAGTTGAATATTTGAATCCTTAAAATGTCCACATTTAAGGACGCTTTCGGTTTCTAACTAACGTACGGTGGATGCGCTATCGCATGAACTATTATTCGAAATTCTACAATCTCTTCGATTTGAAAAGATTACTTGAATAGGATTGTAATAATTATTATCATGCAGCAAAACCTAATATATTTCGGGATGTCCGTGCCCGAGTACGGAGTCCCGGGATGTTCTTTTGAACGTAGTCGGACTACTTGCGCCGCCGTGGTAGAATTATCCAAACTTAAATGGAATTCCCTCACAAAGACCAACGCATTCTTTATTACTTAAACAACATTCTCTAATGAATTATCGTTGGAAAACGTGATTTTGAGGGATATTTCGCCGCTTAGGTACCTGCAGGACCGTACAGAAGTGACATTTATACGCACCAGAGAAGTGACCGACCCTTCGGAAAGCCACGAGTTAAAAATCACATTTAATGCGACATTGTTGGCATTAGAGAACTCGGGTGCAACAATACCGACCGACCGACGCATGGCGAGAGCCCAGGAAACGGCCTTGGCCCTATTATATTGTCTTCCCAAGGTGCACAAGGAAGGCCTTCCTCTCCGGCTCATTGTATCCCTCAAAGGCATTCCAACGTACGGACTGGCAAAATGGCTGTTTCGGCGCCTCATATTTCTGACCGCTGATTCGTACACCACCGTCTGTTCGTCAACACAATCCCTGGAGAGCTTAAAGGAATAAGTCTCTTGCCAAAGCAGGTCATGGTATCTTTTGATGTCACGTCCCTCTTTACTTCTATCCCCCAGGATCTGCCAATCGAGATCGTCCAGCTACTCCTACGAAATAAGTACAATGAAACGGAGAACCGTCTCGGACATGCCCAAGTCCTTCAGCTCCTAAAGTTCTCTCTCAGAACGTACTTCAAGTTTGACGGAAAAATCTACGACCAAGTGAAGGGAACACCAATGGGCTCGCCGATCTCGGGATTCATCGCCAAGGCGTTCCTACAGCGGTTAGAGTCTCTGATCTTCCAACACCACAGACCGAAATTCTGGGCTCCGTATGTGGACGATACCTTCGTCGTCATCGAACGGGATCTGGTGCTAACGTTCAAAGAACGTCTCAACAGCGTCTTCCCGGACATACAATTTACGATGGAGGAGGAAGAAAATAACCAGCTGGCACTCCTTGATGTCCTCGTCTGTCGCAATTATTGTGGTGGACTAAAGACCAAAGTTTTCAGAAAAGCAACGAACACGACGCAAATACTGAACTTCAACGGTAACCACCCAATCAGCCACAAACGCAGTTGCGTAAGAACGCTATATCGGCGTGTTGAGACGCACTGCAGTGAACCGGAAGACAAGGTTGCCGAATTCCAATATCTTCGACGGGTTTTCGGAGAAAATGGTTACCCGCGCAACTTCGTCAATCGGTGCCTGCGCAAACGAGACGAGCGACAAACCCGTACCGACCCCAAATTCTGGCGAGCGATCCCGTACATTTAGAGCGTCTCCGAGGCCGTTAGCCGCCTTCTTGCACCTCTTGGAGTTGGAGTTGCGCACAGACCGGAGGCCACCATGAGGCGTCAGGTGATGAGACCAAAAGACCCACAGCCACGGCATGAAACATCTGGAGTCGTTTACCGGATCTGGTGCAGTTGCGGACAAAGCAACTACGTCGGAGAAACTGGAAGACCGCTTCGAACACGAATTGCCGAACACGCGGCAGCGGTTCGGATGAATGACGCCAACTCTCAGGTCGCGGCCCATTCGACGAGACCCAGCCACACATTCAAGTTCGATGAGGCCGAAATTCTCGCGAGAGGGGATAATCGTGTGGGTCGCGAGTTGCTTGAGTCATGGTTCACGGGACCTCAATCAATCAACAAGTGCAACCACATACCCACTCCATACTGCGTGCTGAGACATAGGCTGGCCAAGGTAATTGACCACTCGGGGCGCGCGCAAGCGGGTGAGCCAGATGGCCGAGCAATCATCCCGCCAGCATCCAACACGGGTGATGACATTTCGGTAATTAACAACTTGCATGCCGGTCAGCAAGCCATTAGCGCACCAGCGGGCAATGATCCTTCATGAAGGGGAGCGCGGTTAATTGCTATAGGTATGCGGTAGCATAGCGACTGCATCCTATAAATACTGCAGCTTCCTGTGCACGAGTCACCCGTCTCTGATGATGGATTCAAGTGAGAATCCGAAACGTCAGGCGAATAAAGAGCTTGTTCCAGCGATCGCTTCTTCTTCTTCTGATTTTCTAATAAGTTATCGCTCGAAAACGTGCTTTTGAGGGATATTTTGCCACTTAGGTACCTGCAGGTCTGTACTGAAGTGATATGAATACGCACCAGAGAAGTGACCGACCCTCCGAAAAACCACGAGTTAAAAATCAAAGTGTTGGCGTCTGCGCTTTTGAAGCCTATCTTATTTCCATGACATTGGTTCTGGATTTAAAGCGAACAGTGGAGGAGGTAAGAAGAGAAATAAATGATTCCTCCAGATAAAGTTTCCAAGTATATACCATACACCTACTACTGGCAGGTGAATAAAATTCCGTGTTGCAGCGCTAGCATATTTTTGCTTGCATCGTAGGCTTATTGTATTCTTGGAAATGAATATTAAAACAATATGTACAATCCCCACTTTCAAAATTAGCCTACGTTGGTAGACCTATCTCCTGAAATATTGATTTTTGTACAGTATAGTTCCAGAATATTTCGGATACATTAGGATAGCGGCTTTTGAATGTGCATCTCTACGGTCGGCTGTCTTTTTTTCCCACTGACATTCGATGTCCCTCCAAATTGAACCAAATTTTAAAAAAACGCATGCACAGGAATTACCTTTCCTGTACTTATTGGGTAGGAAATTACGGCTCCTTACAATTGCAGCATTGAAGAGAGGATATTTTTAGGCCTTAAAAGTGCCTTTTCTAATTTTAGAACTGGCCCCCAGTTTTAGATACCCCTGGAGTTTACTAGATTCTTATTGCATGCCTCCCGTTTAAGGGAGATATATATCTCCATATGCTTATAAGATGACATCATATAAGGCTGAATAAGTCTTACAAAATGTTTGGATCTAGGTATATACTTCATGAGCAGTACCAATAAGCGTCTGATACTGTCTTTATAAGCGGCTGTTCGTGAATATACAAAGTCTCATAATTATGAACGTCTCTGAAGGCAATGCATATCTTGTGTTCACGGATAAAATTTGTCGAAGACCTGATTTTCTACCGAGTGCATACAAGAAAAAATGATCTTGTGCGCGACTTGCGAGAAAAATGCTTTAACTTATAAAGGCATCCACAACCAATGGAAGGATTTAATACAGCTTCAGTAGTCATTTTTAACAAGTGCGGTTTTTGAAGGCGGTCAATGAGGAATGGATTTAAAAACCGCAATCCTGACGTTGATAAGATAGCTTGAAATTAAGCTGCCCGATTATCTGTATTGCAGCTTTATTGTTTCCAATCGAAAACATGATGCGGAATTCCGATGAACATATCGTGAGTTTAGCATTTCTGGTCAAGAAGCGCTTTAATGATATTGCTTGCAGTAATAATATATACAGGAATAAATTTAGAGGCAATGTAAGTATCTTCAAAAGGTGTGTGTAATGCATAATTAACTCTATTTTAACTCTTCGTTTATCGCCTCTTTCAATCATACAGCCCTAATTACTTATTATGCTTGAGTTAACTCTACCAAAGGGGCCGGTAAACAGCACTGTGTGAGTTTCGAATTCAATTTTGAAATATAAATGGCAGAACGAGGGGAGTGCATTTATTTAGAGCAATGGCCGTTTTAAGAGTCTCAACCTAGAGTTGGCTTACATTAGCGTTTCCTTTGTCGGTCGCAGATTTTTTTCCTTATAATGTGGGTTTATGCAGAAGGTAGCATCGGTTGAATAGCAAAAATATTCAAAATTTTGCCTTCACTCCTATTGGAGAAGCCAGTGCGTCTTTACGTGGAAACTATCGTCGTCTGCATTTCGGAATGGTAAATGCGGTATGCGGCAATTTGAATTCACAATCCAGTTTTAACTCACCAAGTGAAAAATGACACCTTCCCCTTCGAATTTTATAAGACTTACGTGTCATAAACTCAGTATGAAAGATACTGAGGCAAAACCTTGCCTTTTTTCCGAGAAAAAACAATTGTAATATAACAATTAGGCAGAGATTGAAAATTGTTAGAATCCACAACTTCGGGGTAGACTGTGCTACATCGACCTTGGTTCTCTTCTATGGCCAAGGTCTTCCCAAGTTCCACAAAATGGCGTCCCCCTTCGACCCATCTTTTAACTCAATGGTACTCCAACTTACGGACTGAAAAAATAGCTGTTTCGGAGTCTCAAATTTCTGACCACAAATTCAGACACTACAGTCAGTTTGTCAACGCAATTCTTGGAGAAACGTAAAGGGGTAAGCCTCCTGCCAAGCGACGTCATGGCACCCTTTGATGTCATATCCCTTTTTACTTCTATTCCGCAGGATCTGGCAGTCGAGACCATCGAACTACTCCTACGTGACAAATATGATGAGAAGGGGAATGGCTTTTTACACGCTCAGGGCCCCCACATCCTGGAATTCTGTATGAAGACGTACTTTACGTTCGACGGAACAATCTGTGAGCAGTTGAAGGGCACGCCCATGGTTCGCCGATTTCGGGACTCATAGCCAAGTCGGTCCTACAGCGGTTAAGGTCGCCGGTTTTCCAACTCCATACACCAAAATTCTGGGCTAGGTATGCGGATGATACCTTCGTCTTCATCGAACCGGATCAGGTGCTGGAATACAACGAGCATCTCAAAGCCGACTTTTCGGACATTCGATTTACGATGGAGGAAAAGGAAAACAAACAGCTGGTCTTTCTTGATGGCGTCGCCTGCCGCAAAGATTGTGGCGGCTTAAAAACAAAAGTATTCAATAAAGCGACAAACGCAATGCAAGTACTGAATTACAACAGCAACCACCCAATCAGTCATAAACGCAGTTGCATAAAATAGCCCATTTCTGAAATGGAGATGGTGAGCAGGCAAAGACAACAGAGTAGTATTCAGCTTATCTGTGAGTCGCTTACCTTGAGGTCTTTTGCGAGGCTGTAGACGACTCCGCATCTTCGAAATGAGATGGCAATGGTCGATACACCTGTCAGCACCCGGAATCGTCTTTGTCACCAGCACCTCCTACTGGTCTCGCGTCCGGACGAGGACAGTCCAGCAGGTGCAACTTATGCGACCAAGGGTGAATCCATGTGGCCTTCTTTCGCATCGGGATTGAGGAAGTAGATGTTGGTCAGGATGAACAGATGTTTTGCGCAGGTGCGTAGGAGGAGCAGGTCATTGTCATTGGAGCCGTTGAGACCATGGGGACCCAACACTCCTCTTTAGGCAGCATGGTCTGTGCCGACGCGGGCGTTAAAGTCACCAGGGACAATCAGCTTATCCGCCTTCGGCACAGACGCAAGCGCAGCGCACCGGTCCTCGTAGAATTTGTTCCTCGCCTCGTCAGGGCTGGTTATTGGGGAAGCGTAGACACTGACGATATTGGTGAATTTGCCTCCCTAAAGAGGCGGGCGGAGCCTCATCAGGCGATCGTTGATATCGGGCGGCAGACAAGGCAGTCGTCCCACATGTCATTCCGGATGGCAAAGGCGACGCCCGAGTCCTGTTGCTCTGTCCTGGGGCGACCGCTCCAGAAGAAGGTGCAACCGGCACCCACCTACTCCAGTTGGCCTTTTTTCGGATCTCAATGAGTGCAGCAATATCCACCTTGTAGCTTGCCGGTTCCTGAATCACTAGTGCCTTCCTCCGTTCCGGTCGATTGCTCCTCGGATTGTCTAAAGTGGAATGAAAATTATAGGCTTCCAGAGTGAACGGACTCATCGTACCGGTCTAGCGAGTGGGGCAGGAGGAAGGAGGATAGGGAAGTGAGAGAGTCGTTTCTGTTTTGGTTTTTCCGAGGCCACGATCAGCCTGCAGCCGGCGAAGATCCCCAGAATTTGTTTAAGGCACCTATTCTAACACCTCCTCCTTCGCGGGGACGAACAGTACTCTCCCTAAATAGGGCTACTCTGTTGTCCCAGGCGGCTGCCGAACTCCACTAAGGAAGAACGACAAGAGTTAGTCTGGGACTGCCTACGTCACCGCCGTAAGCTCGATGAGGGGATGGGGATGTGACAAATGTAGAGAGGCAGAGCTTTCCCGTCCCTCTCTAAGCTAACTGACAGCTGAATTACAGTGCGTGACCTATCTCATGAAATGTGGGCTGAAATTCTGAAATGCGTTTTCGATTAGGAAGGATTACTTGGTCGCGGTTGTGATAGTTGTTATCTTAAGGCATACTGTTTTAACATTTTGGACTCGGCAGCATGTCGGCTTTTAAATGCACTTCTTTTCACTCTCTTGTAGAATCGGTGCTTGGTAAAAAATGACTACTTAAGTAACATGCATTTTTCCCATTGATTTTCGATGGTCCTGCACATTCAAATATATTTTATAGAAACCACAAACGAAAATATGCTTTCTTTTGGTCAATCAATAAGGCATCACGTCTTCTTTTTCTTTTATACTCAAGCAAGTCGCATAATAAAGTTTTAAAAAAGTTTTCCAATTGCCGAATAATTTGGAACCTGATCATTCGTTGCATTAGCGCTTAGTGATTACACTCTACAAGTTGCATGCGTTCCGCGTAAAGAAAATCCCATATTTTTCTATGTCATTAAAGAGATACTATACAGGGTCCATAAAATTTTACAATGGATGCGGACCATGTTGTACATTTCATGAGGAGCAGTGGTAAACGGCCAGGTACAATGCTATGTGAATGGACATATCGCGGTCTTAAAAAGTCTCATAATTAGAAACATTTTAAAACCTAATTATACTCCTTCTTTAAGCATAAAATATAAAGAGGACGTGCTTCTCTATTGATTGACTAAAAGAAAGCAAATTTTTGTTTGTGGTTTCTATATGATATATTCGAATTTTTAAAACCATCGAAAATCAATGGGAAAAATGCACGCTACTTAAGTAGTCATTCTTTACCGAGCACGCTTTCTACAGGAGATTGGAAATCAGTGTATTCAAAAGCTGACATCCTGCGGAGTCGGAAAGGTTATAAGAGTATGCCTTAAGAAAATCACTATCACAACTGCGACCAAGTAATCCTTCCTAATCGAAAACGCATTTCAGAATTTCAGCCAATGTTTCATGAGATCGGTCACTCACTGTATAAACGATGAGCAGCCAAATTTAACAGAACGGCATTTAGCTTAGGGTAAGGTCATGAACGAACCGGTAGATAAAACGCAAGCAGGCAACAAGCAAAATGCACAGACAACAGAACAGCGCTTAGTTTTCAACAAGGACAAACACATAAAAGCAGACAAATAGCAAGCAAACACGAGCAAAAAAGCAAAGGCAGCAGAGCAATGTTCGCTTACCTGGATGCTCACCTACCTTGGGGCCTCCCACGGTGTTCCAAGCGGAACCTCATCACGGATATACCGATGCCGGCCAGCAGAGTCAAGAGTACAGTGTGAGGAGATGCTCACACGGATACCCCCACCTGGTTTAATCCACCGGTCGAGGCGGTTACCGGTGTGGCCGCCAAACAGAGCCTATCTTCGGGGAGCCACATGTGAGATTTGGGTGCCAGAAAGTGGACACTAGGCGTAGTCTACATTCCCAAGCAAGCGAACGACCTACTACGGCCGTCAAGTGGACGCACAACTGGACACCTTACAATCCAGCTCTACCAACTCTCTTGAAAGCATGTATTTCTAGTAACTTCAAGAACGTAGAAATGTTATTCATACCATTTACAGCGCAATCCTCTAAAAGGTCCTTTCAATTTGACCCTCTGATAGACATCAGCTTGAACGGGTGGCCAATACTGTTTCAGTTTTCTTCCCGAAGATCAAATCATATGAAACATTTTAGTGAGAATGTCCGATGAATCCCGGTCATGCTGTGGAAATAAATCAGGAGGAAGGAGGATTTCTATTGAGGTCGTATTCTTCTAGGCTTTCCCAACGGAGAAAAACTCTTTGAGATAAAACAGTTTAGTAATTGAGAGGGGCGTCTGTTTGGCTGTCGCAAAATATGAACAGCATATAGCCACTAGAATAATTGTAATGAATTCATGATGTCTGTTAATGCGAACGGAACATATTACACAGGGCTCCCTTATTTGCTTTCCCATTCATAGAAGCTCCTACTTATTTCGCAACGAATGTCATCATAAAACAGCCGCTTGGATGCAAATTTCATTCAGACATTACCTGTATTCCCGTGGCCATGAAGGAGAGCTCTGAGTCTCCAAGTTGCGGAAGTATGGACCGGATAATCTGAGAATTAGTCACAAATAGATAAAAATGGTAACAGGATACTACTACATTGAAAACGAAAGGTCTTTAGTTACGAATTTGAATCTGGAAAATCAAGAGCATATTATCGACGACATTATGACGCGCGTCGAAGAAGAACAGATCAACTTCGGGACGGTGCTTCGTATCAAGTGCGGTGGAGCGAAGTACCCAACTCGCCTCAGTAGCATGTTCTCTGCAATGGCCGGTATCCGGCATAATTTATCGAGACGAGGTGACCCTATTCAGCGTTCACCGAGTGCACTTCGTCGCAAGAAGTTCATTGGTAAGATTGGAGTATCCAGTATTTGTTTATTATCAGCTTTTCAACATCATACTTAGAATGATGATGCAGCGAAGACTCGGCATCCTCGCCTTCAAATTCGACAACCGAGGAGCACTCATTAGCAGTAAGAGATCATGAATGAACCAACAACAACAACGAAATGCCGGAAGCCTCAGTCATCGCCAACGGCAATCACTATACCATCTTGGAACACTTCGTTCAATTCGGAAGTACTATCGAAAAGTGTTGGTACAATTAGGTCTGACGTCTATGTCAGCATAAAGGTGATTGAGTGCGTCACCTACGTGTTCCCATATCAAAAGTCGAAGGTACTTAACTGCGAAGGTGAGAGTACAAATAGATCAGAAACCAGGACGCTGAAATTAAGCCATCTATGCTGTTAGGCCCGACGTCGGGCATAATTGTTATCCTGCAACCGACCAGCGAAGGACAAAATACAGAGCAACACGCCGTTGTCTACAAGCTGGGCAAATGAATCATGGCGATAAGGTCACACAACATCAAGAGGTGCGTTGAGTGAACCACAGGTTATATGGGTAAGTAGACGCCATCTTGACTGACCTGTGACCTGATATGTCACGGAGGCTCCACTTCCACATGGCACAAACCAGCAAATGGGACAGACTTGGCACTGAGTGATACTTCACTCGGAGTTGCTGCCTGTACGCAAATACGTCTTTAAGGTCACACAGAATGAAGGTCTTTTTTCACAGACTAGATAAGGCGGTGCTTAAACAAAATCAAACCATTCTCCTGGATACTACTGTTATATCCACCAATTAGTATAACGCCAGTTCTGTGCGAAATAGAAGACAGACAGGATAGGAGAGAACAGCTTTACTGCGTCAGTCACTCTGTGTATATCAACTCTTAATCCTTCCGTCCGTGGCTTCGTATTTAAGGGTTCAGCCCTTGTCTGGTTTGCGTGTTCCTACTGGTCCAGTCCTGAGCGCCCGCATGGGCAGGCCCTCGCGTGTTGCTGGCCCCTGGAGGTCGCGCATGACTCAGCGGCGTGCTAATGTCTGGCTCGCATGCAGGCTTCCTAGGCGAGGCTGTCCGGCGAGTTTGCGGTTCTTTACAGGCGCGACCCCCGGACGACAGAAATGGTGCGTCGTGTTCTGGGCCGTCCTAACAACTACTTAGCAGGGTCGCTTATGACAACTTCAAAAGAAAATCCCACAGATGCTGTAACACAGGCTGACCTTGGGATTTAACTGAGTGGAATGTCCAGCCTGCTTGTAAAGTAGTTGAATTTACTTCGGCAGTTTGATAAGCCGCGCGCATACCCCTGCTGATTACGTGATCGATGCCGTTTAAGAATCTAACGTCTCCGGTTTTCTTAAAATTAGTGTAAAATGTGGAGGATGGTAATTCAGAGTCTCCAAAGGAGTTTGTACAACTTACCTGAAACACGGAGTTCTTCAGACTCCGAAGAGAATCGAAATACTCCATGTCTATCCATCCATTATGACGGAACGTGCTTTTACGGATCAGGTTAGGGGATCACTTCTGATCCATTTGCCATCGTCCGTCAACCGTACCTAGGCCCAAGATTTGCAGATATGGGATCTGAATCCGCATTCTTCTCTCACCTGGTTTTTTATTCCTAACACTCTTCCATAGAACCTCAAGCCGTTATTCTGTCAGTTGTAGGGTGTTAAACCTAAAACCTTTCTATGACCATATATTTGGGCTTGACTTTTAGATCATGCGAACCTGGAGCTCGGCAAGGCCGAATAATGTCAGCTAATAAACCGAAAATGGGCACTCCTGCATTCGTTGTCTTTCATAGATGTTTTGGCAGATTTTGAATAATTCATATTGACCCAACTGTGAAAAACTCGGCGCCTCGGTGGGATTCGAACCCACGCAGTAAGGAGAAGGCTTAAATACATCCAACGCTCTAGCCATTTGAGCTACGAGGCCCCGCTCAGCCTTATGCAACGTCTGGAATCCACTAAATCTGATACAGTAAGTTGACTGCTCAAGCAGGATTTCCTAAGTAATTCATCTAGAATCCACCAGATGACAACCAGGCTCACGGCGGGACCCGGTAGCTCAAGTGGTTAAAGCGTTGGCTGGACTAAAGCCTTCCCCTTACTGCGTGGGTTCGAATCCCACCAAGGCGCTGAGTTTTTCACAGTTGGGTCAATATGAATTCTTTGGCTTTATCAGTACTCTTTTCTGCATATTTGTTTGTGGATTTCTGGTCTCCGTATGCCCTCCTTTATGCCCTCATGTTAGCTACTTCGCAGTAAACTGCACGACAATCCGACCGGCGTTACTGACAATGGTGACTTGCGCGTATAATGACGGTAGACTTGCACTGCGTCTATCTCCCACCATCCGTCTTCATCCTTCTGGACCCGGTTTCAAGGGAGAATTAAAAAGACCGGGAGCAGATTCGGACGCAGGTGGCTGGCGGGACGTGAGCCTGCACCTAAGCGTGCCATTTTTCATCGCTGCACAGCCCAGTAACGCGTGCAGTACTCAACTCTGGGCCTCGTGTTGATCTAGCACATTAACCGCATGACACAGTTATGTCCACAAGCATCTTATCGCGTCCGGTTCTACCTTGGTCTTAAATTCCCTGTCTACCTTACTCGAAAGGTCGTTAGCTCTTCGTAGCAAAAAGTGGCCCCCTTTCTGCCTACACAGCTCTCTCTCAAGTCAAGTGCAGACGTCCTACTTGTGACTGCTGGCGCTGGTGCCGTAACCACCAAAGACGGACCTGATTCTTGCGTTCTTATGGGTGACTCTGTCTGACGATTTGTCATTTCTCCGGTCCTAAAGCAGGTTGAAACAGGAATGTCCAGCGCTGCTTGCGGGCAGCAATGCCACGCCTTATGTCGAGCCACGTCGCCAGGGCCACTTGACCACATTCGCCATGCTCGCATTACGCGAATGGTCGTTTGCGAGCCAGTCTGTGTTGATGCGGGCCTAACCCGAAACAAACTTTAGAAGACGACATTCGGTGGCGTGAGCCTCTGCGCCTATGTGATCCTCAGTCGGCCAAGGTTGGTCAGACCACTTGTTGAGGGAAGAGGGGAGAGAGTCACATCTATCAGTCAGCTACGTCCCCCAGTCCAAAATTGAGCTACTCAGCCAACGTGGCCGGCCATGGTTCGCGGAAAATACTGTTTCATCAAGAAAAAGCCCTGAATGAGAAGCGATGTAACTGACTGACCGGATGGGCTGGTATATCATCGAACAGAACGTCGGTCGAAACAAACAGTCGCTGGTGCTTATATGCAATGGGTACCAAAGTACTTGTACTTGATACGGCTGCGATCATGCCTGATCTAGACGACCTCGATGATGTCACGAACTGTACCTCTCCACGCGTGACGATCCGCGGCAGCAGATCTGGACAGTTCAACCCATTCCCTTCGCCAACGACGGACACCGAATACTGAAGGTCCAAGAACCACCTCCATGTCTTGACGAACAGGATCGAGCCTGGTTTTGAACTGACCCCCTCTTCGACGCTTCCAATGGGACAACGGTGTCGGGTCGAGGGAAATAACACTGACCTCCTGAGGTGGATGAGTAAGAACCTGTCAAAACCCCATCAGTCGTCTTTCTTGGATGGCCTGAGTTATCCTTGTGATGTTGTCGCAGCGAGCGCGGACTGCCTCATTTAAGACAAAGTCGGTTAACTTCACTCGAAGGATGGTCCTCAAGCAGTGGTGGTGAAATACCTCCAGTTTTCGCTCATCCTCCACGCGCAAAGCCCAGCATTCACAACCGTAGAGAACGACAGACCGGACAGATGCACGGTGCACGAGAATCTTGGTGGCGATGGAGAGGTCACGTCGGATCCGGAGGCATTTTCGAAGGCTTGTGAAAACCCGGTGGGCAGCATCGATTAGGGAGGCGATGTCGGCCTTACTTTGTCCATTAGGCAGTGCCTCGCCCCGAGGTATTTAAAACTGTCCACTACTTCAAGTTGACAGCCATCAATTCCAAGGGGTGCCTTTCCTTTAGTCTTCACAACATTTATGAATAAACCACCCGATTTAGCGACCTCGCTCACCCGTGCCACCATAGACTGCAGATCGCCAAAACTTGAAGCAAGTAAGGCGAGATCTTCGGGTGCAAACCCAACACCAACACCTTCGTGCAGGACCCTTCCAAGGATCCAGTCAATAGCATAGTCGAACAGAATGGGCGACAGGATACAATCCTGCCGAACGCCAAACCGAATGCCGAACAGTTGGGAAAGATTGTTGTGGACCAGGACTCTCGCAGTAGTGGGTCGATAATAGGCCTTGATCATGGCGATGATATTTGCCGGTACACCATCCAGCGCCATTATCCGCCACAGCGACTCGCGATGAACGCAATCGAACACCGCGGCAAAGTAAATGAAGCAGACGGCCGTCGGTTGTTGGTTGCTATGGCGAAATTCGAGAATGTGCCTCAGTGTTAATATTTGGTTTGCGCATCCACGTCCAGCACGAAATCCGGCTTGGTTCGGCCTCGTCCTTGAGCCACGCACGGCCTGGGATCGCCTGAGAAGGACAATAGCGAAGATCTTCGCAGCAACGTCGATGAGACTTATGCCGCGGTAATTTTCGCATCTCGTTTTATCTCCCTTTTTGAGGATAAGTACATGGATGCCTAAGCCCCAGTCATCAGGACCAACCTCGTCTCTCCACGGTCGTTCAATCACCCCATGAAGCCAGGGTGCCAGAGTGTCAACACAAGACTTGAAGATTTCAGCGGGTTTACCGTCCTCCCCAGGTGCCTTATTGTTGGGCAACTTTCGTATGGCATCGGCGACTTCTTTCTCGGAGGGGGGATCGCATGGCACTGCATAGGTAGGAGAGGGAAGAAACTCCGCTGAGGAGGAGAGCAAGGGCCAGATAGGTTGGGTATCGAAGTTGAGATGGTGCCCACGCCAGCGCTCGACTTTGGCCGAGTTGGCAGCAACAAAGCCGCCGTTCACGTCGCAAACTGAATCACTCAGTGTAAAGGGCTTACTGCTAGCTTGGCGGATACGTTTTCAGAGTATTCGAGTGTCACCAACGCACGAGGCCTGTTCCATGGAGGTCGATATTTCAGTCCAATATTGCTTCCGATCATCCCTGGCCAATTTTACCGTCATCTTCCGACATTGGCGGAAGCAGACATCGTAACGGGACCTGCATCGAGTCGTCCGAGCGGACAACTGCAGGGTTCTTCCGCTGATCCAGTCACTGCGGCGTCGTTGGGTGTATCCAAGGCTTTTTTCAGCTGTCTTCAGTGAAGACCACTCGTTACTGACTTATCCGTCGGCTGGAGTCGCAAGACAGTTCCGGATTTCTCTGCTCAGGGCCTCGGCAGTGCTGGTTTGCCGGATTTTTTCGACATCGAGGTGTCTAGGACGTGGCATTTTTGGCGCGGATGCGAGATTAACTTTCAAGCGTGTACGGACGAGGACATGGTCCGACTCATGGGCGTTACCAGTCTCGGCACCACGCATCGATCTGCTATCGTGAACCCAGCTGCGAAACCTTGAGTTGACTAGTATGTGACCAATCTGACTGGCCGTATGGCCGTCGTTTGGATACCAGGTCAGCAGATGTCTTTTGAGATGCAGGAAACATGTGTTCGTGACAAGCAGACATATGCAATCAAAACCAAAGTGTTACTGCTCCATGACAGTGCACGCCGCTTGTTTGGATAAGGAATCCAAACACGGAAAATGCCCTTTGCTGTCCCTCTGAGGAGTGCGGCAAGAATGTGACTGACAGCGTGAGAAGTTGCAACTGGTTGGATAAATTCAAAACTGGGGCGGCGGCTGGAGAAGGCCGTAAGTTGAATGATCATTTGCTAGAACTGGATTTCGTTCTTAATTTGTAGGCATTTTCCTTTCTGACTTTCGATGACTTCATAGATTCAAATATATTTTATCCAAAAGACCCACAAAATATCCACCCGTTTACTTGATTGATAGGGGATTACGTCTGGTACAAATTTTTATACTTGGAGGAGGCGTATTGTTTGATTTTAAAGAGTTTCTTAATTTCAGAATAATTTTGGACCCCTCCAAAAGTTACACTTGCGCGCAGGGTTTCCATATTACAAGCTGAATATTTTCCTTATAAGGAAAATTATACATAAATATGCGGTATTTAGACGTGTCTTGGCTTCGGTGGCACGGACTTGATGGAGGTTTGTGCTGTAACTGGTATTAGCCCAAAAGTGAGCATCAGACGACCGAGAGACTTAGGTAGAGCACTGAAACATGAGGAAGGGAATGGTCAGTGCAAAGGCTAGTTGAACAGTTTTCTCACAGTACTTACCCGGGGCGCTGAATGCTCGCCGTGAAAGGGTATCAGTATCAGTCGATGAAATGCCTGTCACTTCTTTGGAATTGAAAGCAGACTAAAAGTGCTCCTTCGTAAAGTGGCCTTTATGGAATTTCTGTAAGAAACCACACCCTTTGTGACATGCGTTCTAAGTGCTACTTAAGTCACTTCAAATACCGTGCCCAATGTCATTCCTATTCCCTTTGAGTCGGACGGGCCACGGTATGTGGAATCGGAAAAGGGAGCTGAAGTCCATATAGTTGGAATCTAGTGATTGGTCTCCGATACATAAACAACTAAAATTGCTTTATGACTGATGTAACGGGCAAAACCTCGCGGGCTGGAAGATTAGTAGGCAAATGAGGAATTGCAATGATTTCTCAATGTGATCTTTATGTTACTCTCGACCGTATAATTCCTGACACACGCTGGTTCCTCAAAACCTTGTACATGCGGAAGCACAGTCCAGGTCAGGAGATATTTAGCATTGGAAGAGGGGCGTAAACTTGTCGTTTGTACAGAACTAACTCGTCCCGTAGTGCCTCAGGGCTCTCTCTCTCTTGAGCCAAAATAGCAGCCACACAGCGGCACATGATAATGGCAGAATCACACTACCAGCAAAGACGGAGGAAATCATCATTCCAGTCTCTCATGTCTTTGACGTTAATGACATTCTGCATGCTCAGCATTGTCAGATACTGTGCCCAGCCCCGATCATCTTGAAATTTTCTTGACATCGAAGAACGTTAAATGTGAGAATAGAGACGAGAGTAGACAGGATAGTATTACCGACAAAGACAAAAGAAACTGATCAGAAGAAGAAGAAGAAGAAGAAGAAGAAGAAGAAGAAGCAATCGCTGGAACAAGGACTTTATTCGCCGGACGTTTTGGATTCTCACTTGAATCCATCATCAGAAACAGTGGCAGAAAAGGGTGACTCGTGCACAGGAATTCGCAGTATTTATAGGATGCAGTCGCTATGCTACCGCATACCTATAGCGATAAACCGCGCTCCCCTTCATCAAGGATTGTTGCCCGCTGGTGCGCTAATTGCTTGATGGCCGGCGTGCAGGTAGTTAATTGCTGAAATCTCATCACCCGTGTTGGATGCTGGCGGGATGATAGCTCGGCCATCTGGCTCACCGGCTTGCGCGCTCCTCGAGTGGTCATTTGCCTTGGCCAGCCTATGCCTGAGCACGGAATATGAAATGGGGATGTCGTTACACTTGTTGACAGACTGAGACTAGAATGGCCAATTCTGACTTATTAGCCGTAACTGGGCAGTCATACCCAATCTCGAGGTATGCAATCCCGGACTTATTGGTGGACGTCGCACAAGTCTCTTCCAATGTACTCCAAGAAGGACACAAGCACCCCGATCGATGGACGTACACCCGCTGTAGTGGATAGTCTCAGCTCTTCTGACCATATTGTGATAAACTTGGCGGACTCTGTAGGACTCGAATCCGCTACAGAAATAGCAAGGTTTGAGTACGGTCAGCACTCGAAACACCTGTGTTTTGAGGTCTCACCGGGTGCCTTGTGTTTAATTACAAGTGGATCATTTAGGACATTCAAATCTGCGGAAGGCAACATTAAATGATATTCCCAATAGCAACCGGCAGGACAGCGGACTCCTAGCTCAGTGGCGGGACTGTGGATTCTAAGGCGTTCTATGACTAGAGAATTTCTGCTAAAATCCTCGATCGTGCAAATGTGGGGTGGGGGACGGACTGGCTGAAGACGACTAAAAGACCGGAAACGAGCATCTCAAATTTTCTCTGTCTATTTGGCTGCCCTTAACCTGTAAATAGTAGTCTGGATCAGGCATCAAGACGCAGCGGGATGAGCTTTTCCTGTAGACCGATCGATGAACGCCCTCTTACCATAACATTGCACAAGTCAGTCCTGCGTCTTAGAGATATTTGAGGTTCTCTGCTAACTATCGTGGGTTTTGCGATCAGTTCAGGTTATGTCCTCCTTTTCTAGGTTTTAAGTAAGTTAATGGTGTCAGTTGGCTAAACAGGGGTACGCATAGTGCTAATTCGATAAACTTGAATTTAATGTGTTAGTCAGCTGGTTAAAAACGTCTACTAAGCACCTTTTGTAGAGTAGTTTCGCCTGCGAAAGTCCAATCGCTGGAAGCAGTGTTTTCTGCGGGTAATGCCGACCGATTTTCTGACGTACGAAAAGAAATTGAGATCTTTTTGCCTCCAAGGCGAAAGTACCATTGTTCATCGTTGCTTTGGATGAAAAATATTTATTTAATTTCTGCAAGTTACTTATGAATTGAATAAAAAACGATTTGGAGGAATACAAGGCAGCATTTTCACATTGCATTACCATAATTGTGTGTAATAATGCAAAGTAGAACATGAGTTATTTCTTGACGCATGTGACTAAACTGCACCCTTAGCAGCGTCAAGACGGCTTAGTTATACTTTGATCATTTTTTCAGGAATTATCACTGCCAGCGCTTTTCAGCAGCCAACTGAATTCTCTGGATTTTTTTCAGATTTTTGTGTGATAGGGCGCTGGAAGGTGTGTCAGCCGTCTTGAGATTGGAAAAGTGCATGAAATTCGGTGAGGCAGCCGAATGGGTACTCCCTCTGTCATGCGATTCCACACCAAATTCCGAAGGATAAATGATCCCGTCTCCCAGTCCGAAATCAAGCAATAACCGTAAACATAACCCTAACTTTCCCATTGATGCCAACCTTAAACGTGACCTGTCTCTTGAAACCTGGTGACGGAAATTCGTACGAGAATTTAGTCTGGCAACACGGCGCCCTTATGAAAACTCTTGTACCTAATACGTCCCTATCAGGGAAATGAAGTAAAGTCCTGTTTTAGAGTTGCGAAAATTCCCATTAAAGAATTCAAAAGACAATTTGGCGCGCATATGTAAGCTTCCGATAAATTCTCTTCAGGCCTGGATATTTATATTGTTTTTCCCCCAAACCCCAGCTACAGAATAACTCCTGCTGGCATGCATTGTCTTATTAATAATTTCGATAGCATTTACAGGACTGAAGAGGATATATCGAAAGTCTACGTATGTTCGCCAAATCGTCTTTTGAAGTCCCCCTTGTCTTTTGGACTGCATCTTAATGAATTCTAAAGCGTAAAAAATGTAACGGATCCTAGGTAGAGCGTTATGGAACCTATACTCAGAAGTTAGGCTATTGGCAAACCACCACACTTGAACCTACATTAATTCTGAAGAAAAGGTTAGACGTATACTTCACTTAAACTCATTTTTACAGAATGTTCTATTTGCGCTTTCGTATATACTTTGTATTTTGCATGCATAGTCTTTCTATACACATGAATTTTAAGTTAACCCAATTACACCCATCTCTAATTTCTTCGGAATTTTCCGCTTTTTAGAAAGTTGGGATTTTAACTCAATGCAACATTAAATTTAACATTTTGTTGATGCTTTTATTCCCCTTAAAGTTGACATTTATTAAGATATGTATCGGATCTACGCACTGGTGTTGATTTGCGAGTGATTAGCAATCATTCGTAAATTTTGAAACTTTCCATGAGTTAGGTCGCTCACTGTAATTATAACCTCTCTGAAAATTAGTTCACCCGGACCTGTAGTGTGGGAGTTTTCTTCTCCCGTATCCTACCTGAAATGAATATGAGATTCTGATAAAGCATACTCATCAAAAAAGGGATTTTCTATTCGCCACATTTTGAATTTAATCAAGGCCGGTTTAGAAATCGAAATACGCTGCTATATACCGTTCTGATATATTTAAGTTAAGATGATACCGAGTGTGCGAACATTGGATAAAGTCTTCGGACAATCTAGTGTGCCGAACCTTGGAAGGTTTTGTTGAAGAATTTACTCCCAGTTTAAATGCACCTTCTGACCTTACTAAGGTATAGCATTAGAAACTTCAGCACCTAGGGAACGGCAATAAGGAAATCCCCCGTCGAAGGAGCAGTAAAATTGACAAAACCCGAGTCTCAACCTTTACTTAGTGTAAATGCCTGGAGTATGGTAATCGAATTTAATCTCAATCGATGACACCCTGATAAACCACAAAAAGCCGCCTTCATGAGTGGCCGGAGGATTGCATACGCATCGCCTAGGTTCCTTCTTATTTGAGTTCTTAAGGAAGGCATGTTTTAGACTTTGACCCCGGTCTCAACTGCTCTAACACAAAATTCTCGAAAATGCAGTGGAGTTAGTGATCTTAAAATTGCTCCTAAATACTTTGTAAAGTGCCCGACTCAAAGGAGCTACAGCCGGATTGATGAAATTTTCAGGTCGGAACAAGTTATGGTCAGCTGACGTCGATGTCCTTAGCCCAGACAAGGAGATGCATGTTTGATGCCTTATCCATTTATTATTCCAAAGGAAGAAGATGCGATCGCTGAAGCAAGAAGTTTATTCACGTTTAATTTGCTTAAATCAGTCAACCTGTTGATTGCAACATTGTGGCTATCGTATGTGATGGTCGATTGAAGAATTTTTCAGGAAAACGTTGGGTGCAAATGAAAACTTTTCCACGCATTCCAGGCTGTGCCCAGCGGCATTACGACTTTCGTTATTCTGTTGGAGTAACACATTATCCTGACTGACTTGTTCTGGGTTTTTTGGTGCAACGTATCATCTGCCCATTCTGGTTGCACAGTGTAGATTTCAGAGGTAACCCCTTAGTCATTTTCGAGCAACCGTTAGTCGAAAATGTCGGCATCAGTCTGTCATACAACCCTCTCTATGGATGAAGTGCTGCCTCGGAAGTATGTACTCCTGAGTCTTTTGCTGCTGATCAATGAGAAGTCTTTGTGCCATCGTAGTAAAGAATTCCCTTTACTTCCCAACTAATCACCCTATCAAGAGAGGTGAATATCTCTATGATATGAATTGAGGACTGAAAAATTGTCTGCAGACAGGATCCCTGTTATCAGCTTCAGCAGATGAAATGGTTTGACTTAAGAACATGGGTTTTGCAGTACAAGACCATCTAATTTACTTTAACTGCATCTCCGAACACGTCATTACTTATAATGGAGGGTTTCCACAAAGACGTGGTCCAATTATTTCCTCCAGACTCGCTCTTTAGCATATATCAAGACATGTTTTTATGTCCAACCAAATCCGACAACCATAAAGCAAACATGCTCGGACTTCACTTGCTTTCGAAGATGTATGAGAAGCCACGCATCCCAAGGGGTGCCGCTACGATGAGGGACTTCAGTTAACTGATAGATACAGTAGGTGTGCTAACTCTAGAAATGTTAACTGAAATTCTGAAATGCGTTGTCGTTTCGAAAAGATTACAGTTTTAATATTAATCGTCTTGAAGTATAACTCTTCAATAATTGGGTTACCATGGGATGCTGGCTTTTGAAAGAACTTCTTTCCGACTGTATGCGAAAACCACACTCTGTAAAAAAGAACTGCATTAGTCGCAGGGATTTTTCTCATTGATTCTCGACGTCCTTAACAATTAAATTATATTTCATAGAAAATATGCACGAACATATTCATGCTTTTACGCCTTCAGTAGAAAATTACGTCTTTTCTTAATTTTATACTCGTAAGAAGGGTACAACTCGGTTCTCATAAACTTTTACAATTCCCGAATAATTTTGAACCCCACCTGCTGTTACGCTTGCATTCAGAGTTTACAAACTGCAAGCCATATATTGTCTGCGTACGAAAACCATACATTTTTCTACGGCATTAAAAGGAAACCATATAGGGGTTCATAAAATCTAGCAGCGGATTTAAGCCATACTGTAAATTTTACAAGCAACATTAGCAAATGCAGAGACATGATATTTTATGAACCGTCATTTCACGATATTAAATAATCTTATAATTACAAACTAATTTAAGACCGAACTGTATCGATTCTTGGAGTATACAATTGGAAAAGAACGTAATTTTATACCAAATGAGTAAAAGCATGAATATTTTTATGCATGTTTTCCATGAAATATAATTTACTTGTTGAGGCATCGAAATTTAATGTGACAAATGCATGCTGCATAAGTAGTCATTTTTCACAGAGCAGCAGAAAAGAAGTTCGTTTGAAAGCCAACATCCCAAAGTGACCGAATTATTATAGAATTATGCTGCATGATAATTAATTTCGAAACCCTTCACAAGTAATCTTTTCGAAACAAAAACGCATTTCGGATTTTCGGTTAACATTTCATGAGTTAGCTTACCTACTGTTTATCTCCCCGATGAGACGCAAAACGCGCGCCCTCGACACGTCTCAACAAGATTCAGTAAGTAATAGACCTGAGCTCAAATGAAAACCGTGTGCACTTTTATTCACCCGATAGTTTTTTAAGCTGGTAGTGCCAACTGAGACACTCAACTGCTCCGGCACATTTAACCGACACGCGTACGTTATATACTTACCTCAGTTGCGTTTTGATCGTCAAGACTGCTGAAAACATCTACAGGGCTCCGACTGACCACCTCCGATTTCCCATTTTAAGTGTGTAGAATGAAACATGAAAGTCTCATAAAGGCCGTCTTGGGTTGACTCGAATGATGAGAGCTGACTCAAAGATGGAATCAATAGGTGTTATGGCGGCTTTCAAATAATTCCCTCTGAACCAAATGTGACAAACTCGGCGCCTCAGTGGGATTAAAACTCACGACAGCAGTCGGAATGTCCTCTCACACCGCACACAGGAATATTACTTAGCGGTGAGGGGATGATGCCACCTATCTCGGGCGACCATCCACAACCCGCGATAACTACTGACGTTCACTTTGACCCCAATGCGAAAAACTCGGCGCCTCGTTGGGATTCGAACCCACGAAAGTAAGAGGGAGGCTTTAGTACAACCAACGCTCTGGCCACCTGAGCTATGAGGCCCCGCCGAACGACACGAGTTTAATTACATTTGGGTCAAGTTACCCGCCAAACCTACTGCAACTTCTGGAATCCACCAACCCTGAAACATTAAGCTGACTACTCAAAAAGAATTTCCTAAGTAATACACCTAGAATCAACCAAATGATTACTAGGCTGTCGTGAGTTCGATTCCCACCGAAGCGCCGAATTTTTCACAGTTGGGGTAAATGGAGTTATTTTAAATCTGCCATTAACCTATTAATTACGTGAGCTTAGTTATTATCTGGTGGATTTTAAAAAGTTCAGGAATGAGGCTTTTTTGAACTTGAAAGTAAAACGAATATTTTTCGCGCTTTGACCGAAAGGGTGTGTCGAAAGACTAGTCAGAAGCTTTCGGGTGCGGCTCGAAATTTGACATTTTCCAAGGGTGGCGCATCTTTTAGTGACGTAATAAGTACTTGACCGATCTCTTTTGATTCACCACCAAATCCAGCCCCGCCGATGTCTGCTTATCCTTATCAAAGGGGGAGTGAAGTTGCGAGTCATCAAAATTCTGGTTCAGCGTTCCTCGTTTGATAAGAAGTGCTTGTGAAGCATATGTCTGCTGTAAAGCACTTCTAAAAAAAATTAGCATGGGGCAGACACAATTTTCTGAAATATATTACACATTTTATTATTTGTTGGAGCTTGTGGATTGCTGTTGTCCAGTCAGAACGGTAATGGTGCCAGCTTAGTAAAAAATTCAATTCACCTAGGCACAGGTCAAATATCTTCACAAATGGGCGAGTTTTTTACAAGAAGCCAATGTACCTACAGTTAGTGACCGGCCTCGACAAAAAACGACTGCATGAGTAGCATCCATTTATTCTATTGATTTTCGATGTTCTTATAAACCCAGATGTATTTTGTAGAATATATTCATAATAATACTCTTTCCTACATTCTTTTTGCAGTAAATCACGTCTTCTCAAGATTTTATATTCGAAGAAATGACATCTTTCTGCTTTGGGAAATATTTTCAGTCAGGCGCATGATCTATGACCATTTGCAGGCACCGCCATAGGGGTATTATATCGTCGTATTTTTACTTCAATGGCTTCCTTAAAGCCTTCTCACTATCCTGATGCAACAGCCACCGCTAGGTCTTTTTATTTCTTTCTGTTACCTACAAATATATATCCCAGTTATTTTCCCTTAGCATAATTGCTCCCCGGAATAAATAATCCCGGCCACAAATCGTACCTTTGCCTGAAAATATTTTAAAGCGGAAATATGTTCTTTCTACGAGTATAAAATCTCAACAAAACGTGATTTGCTACGAAATGAGTGTGAGAAAGACTACTTTTGCACACTTTGTCTTCAAATAATATATTCAAATTTTTAAGGGCAGCAAAAAGCAATAAAATAAATGCATAATCCACAAGTAGTCACTTATTATCGAGTGCTATCAGTGCAGGCGGCCGTTAAGAAGCTTACTCTAAAGCCAACATACCAAGGCATCTGAAATATTACGGCATTGTGCTGCGTGATAATCACTGTTGCAATCCCACTTACCCTGCCTAACCGGATATGCATTTCAGAATTTCGTTTAACTCCTTATGAGATCGACCACTGGCTGTATTTCATCTGAGCATTAAGTTTAATGTCCCATTCTCTCCTCCCTCGGTGATGAGCAAATAATTGTCCATCATTTGAAAAGTCAAGTTGGCAAACACGTTTTTTCGGTAATTCTTCGTCAGGCCAATATAGTTACATGAAGGAATGAAAATGCATAAAAGTACAAGTGTTTATTAGATGTCTCAAGGGCTATTAACTCATTAATACTCAGCTTCCCCACGCCGCTCCCATGACGAGGCTAGCGGGTTTTGGTCCTTAGAGCTGGGAGAGGGGGGTAAGAGAGTCTTTGAGTGATGTTCTTGAATTGGGTACATGGAGTATCCATCACTGTAATTAGGGATATGAGGCGGCATGTCGTCATCACGTGAGGTTGTCGTTGGCCACGATAGAGAGATCGTTTGCGTCAGGGTTTTCTGACAGCATAACACCGGATTCGCTAGCCGTATAGCCACTGCCTCGGCCGTTGCTACTCTCCGTTGGCGTAAGCCTTTAGAGAAGCTGGTTTGTTTCCGATAGACAACCTGAAATGCTTCATTGGCATCGACTCGGTAAACCGAATCGATTAAATGTGCGAGAATCGACTCGAAATAGATCGGGTCCCACCTCTGTCCAGCCAGGCGGGCATATGTTCGCGCACCCTCTTTACCACTCGCCTCGTTGTACGGCCGATGTATCCTGCTCCACCGGAGCAAGTGCATGAATAAATGCACATTAATGTGGCCTCCAACGGTAGTCCGTCTTTACCTCCCAAACGTAGGAGGGGAGAGTTTGTGAAACATACGCGTAAATTCGTCGCGGGGAATGCTCTTGTGATAGCTGTAGTTTAGCGTCGTCTGACAAGCTAGCTGGCTGAGTCCCCTGTAAAAGGCAGTCTTATGAATACATTTTTCTTTTCTGCAGTCGCGACGATGGGCTTTGTAATGCGGTCCCCAATATTTCGGAGGATAAATCTATCTGGGTATCCGTTCTCGCGAAGTGAGTTCCGCGGCTTCTGAAGCTCCGCTTTAATAACCTCAGGCGAGCAGATGGGTCTCACTCTAACAGCTACTCCCTGGACCAAATTTAGTTTGATGCTAAGGGGATCAAAACTGAGAATTAATGTATTTTCCCGTCAGGACCTTCTGCGGAAGACCCTGCGCTGGATAGACCCATCCTCGTGACTGTGCAAAACGACGTCGCGAAACGTAATTTGCCTCAGACTCGACAGTGAAATTCAACGAGGTGTGCGTAAACGCTTGAATGTCACACGCTACGAAAGAATTGGAGAAAATTACTCGAGGGGTAATCTTCAGGAAATATTAAACTAGCTAATAACCCCTACTTAGCAAATAGTCAGTAACTTGTCATGCAACAGTTGAACATATAGGCGTCAGATCATTAATCAAATACGGTTTACTACGCGTAATCTGATGACTTCAAGCAAAAACCATCAACGCCGTCTGCATACGGAAACACGAACAGGCTTTAATGGAACCTGTAAAATGGCGTGCGAGTTGAGGGAAGAAACGTAACTACCTCATCGACTGTCGACTGGGTAGTTTTGAAGATAAATGTTCGTATTCAAGGTTGAATTGACGTTTGCGAATTAGTTGCGGCAATGACTACAACGCAACAGGCTATATACACGCATTCAAAGCGTTTCAGGATCGTTTACCTACGAAGATTTCCTACGAATTTACGTCGTTTTCGTTTACTTTGCAGATACTCTACTGGCAGTCTTTCGGGTGCGAGTCATGTAATTATCACATGAAATACCTAGCCGTTAAACAGCAATAGGTGAAAAAGTATATAATCTCAGCTCCTTACTTGGTCAACTTGCATTCAACTGCTTACCGCAGTTCACGAGGAAATCAAGGTGCATGCTCCCAATTACAATATCAGGATCGCATTACCAACATGTCCCCAATAAGCAGGATTAGCTTAGCAGCCTCGATTCATTTGTTTTCATGACAATTTTCTGGACCGAAAAACATGCTGGTTTTGTATTCTAGGAAACACGTGTGCTAATCTTCGATGGGATTTCAGGCATTGGAAACACACAACTTCCCAGTATGTTACCAGATTCTCCTGTGGTTCTTAAGCTGTACTAGGTAGTAATTCTGCATTTCATTGCTGTTTTCCGTTCTCCATAACTGCGTGCCTTTTTGATACTGTATTTCTGTTTATTTAGATGACGCACTCGTAAAAAGCCTCAGTTTATTCATGCTTTTTCGCTGCCTTCGCATTTGGCCGAGAGAACTGCTGACCACCTCTGAGCCCGTTGTAACCGAGAGTCTATGGATTTGGACGAGAGAATGTTACGTTGGCCGCGGCTTATGGACGCTTAAGAGGCGGTCGAAAAGGACCACGAAACAACAACCCACACCCTATGCCTGCCAGTGTGACACTGTAAGATTTTCTCTAGAGTCCTGCTCAGTCGCCTCAACTCTCAGCTGAGTTAACAAAGATTGCGCATGAACCGTGGGACTGTCGACAGATCTTTCCTGACGGCCGACTGAAAGAGAAATCCGAAGCGACCCAAACAAACTTGGTGGATCTGACAAAGTCCTTCGACGCAGACAATCATCATTTGAATGCCCGGAATGACTAACGTAAACTGCAGCAAATGTTTGCTAAGTGGTGATGGCGTACGTCACGGGCGGAAAGTCAGTATTAGAGGCTTTAGAGGTGGCAATGGGGTGAAGGAGGATTGTGTACTCACCGTGTTCGTGGATGCCTATCGTAACGCGAGGCCGGAAATCGATATGGCTTACAGAATTATTAACACATGTGCAGCATCTGACGCAAGGGCACAACTAGATGAAAATTCATAACCCTCTCCGTGTTAAATCAAATGCTTATAGTAAGTGGGCTAAGTCGTGAAATCGCAACAGAAATTCCGAAATGCGTTTTCGTTCCGAAAAGATTTATTAAGAAGGGTTGTAAAACTAATTCTCGTGCCGCACAATTCTATAGTAATTCAGTTACCTCAGGATG